AACTATGTTAACTCTGGTGCGGACAATTTAAATTTTTTCTAAAGGAAAATAAAATAAATTTTTATGTTATCAACATAAATTATAAAAAACATGAGGTCAGAGCAAAAATATTGTAATAATTATAATCCATAATCAATTTGTAAAGCCACATCGATATTAGTAGTTTAAAGATTTACAATTCCTAATATCTAGATAATAATATAAAAAACAGATTTGAACAACTTTGCAAATATTTGCATTTTCAAGATAACACAAAATCTATTCTTCATAATAAAGGCTATAAAAATATTAATGCTGTAAAATATAATCAAATGCCATAATTCTATAAATAATATATAAATTAAAACCTTATAAATTTGGACATTTTAAAATTCATGTGGGAATAATGGCCTTTCTATCAGGCTATTTATGGGTAGAAGGTGATAATATACTTTAAATTAATTAAATAAATGCAACTAAATCAAAAATTTATAAATTAGTTATTTAGATTTTTTGAATACTAAAATAGAGAAAATAAGGAATATGGTTAACACTATAAGAAGCAGTAAAAGATTGTGGATCAATTTAAGTCATAGTGAAAAAATTGATACACACTTCTTATGGATATTAAACAAATATTTTGATAATTTAATAATTATAAAATCGATTGATACCTAAAACGACGTGGATATAATAGTAAAATATGAAATACCACAAGGAAAAAAATGTAAACTTATTCATTTTATTTTGGTTGAAACCGGTTCAAAACGGTTAAAGTTCTTTCTACTCCTTCAAAAAATAATTCCGTTTAATTATGGTTAAGATATTTATAACAGATTGGCGGTTTACTATTGTTCATTCGGCTCTGGCCGCTAATTGTAAATTTATAACATTTTAAATTATCTAATACCGATATTTTTAAATAATAATAATAATATATAATACTTAATAATTTTTTATTTATTATGTAATTATTTATGGTATTTAATGAAATATAATAAAAATCAAAATAAAATTTGTCGAATATCAATTTTTTTAAAAATCTGAAATTGATTAGGATACAAAAAATTAGGATAAACGAGTATTAACGACGTCGGGAGTATGTTATTAAAAAATTTAAAAAAATTGTATGCACAAAATTATTAATATCTTCATAAATCTAATATAATCATTAACTTTTGAATAATATTTTTATACATCAAAAGAATAATGGAATAAATTTTCATATTTTTATACATGGGCTATCCTATTTTAAATATTTAACTTTTCTCTTTGTATCGGTCCAATTATGTTTATAAGAAGTATAATATAAAAATCTGTCATAACTTAAGATTTTTATATTCCAAAAACCAATGCATTACTTTGGCATAAAAAAAGAGTTTGATTAAAATTGATTAAGATGGATTAGTCTAACAACAAACAGTTAGATGAATTATTAAGTATACTATACTATATTATCATTCATACAAACTTATTTATTTTTTTTACCATTTTTAAAATTTGTGGTTTTCTCAAAATAGTTTCAAATAGCAGTAAGATATAAAATTAATAAAAGATGATTGAATTATAGGATTCTATTAAATTTCTTATTTATATGATAATTCAATAGGAGATGTTTCATCAAAACACTCATTTTTTTTTGTGTTTACAACATTTTATCATAATCTTAAATTTTTTTTAATGATTTATCAAAATTTAAAAACGAATACCATTTAAAATAATTTTAAGAGTTTTTTAAGACTTATTTTGGTTGCGTGATATACATTAAAAAATAATTTGATTATTTGAAAAATCTGTATTTAAAATTTTATACGGCAACTAATTACATATTTATAAAAAAATTAGGTTTAACTGGTTACATATTTTTGGAATATAACGATAAAATAGATAGTTATTTTAAAGTAACTTTTTAAAATATGTTAAATATTTATATATCTCAATAAATAAGTTTATATATAATTAATTTTTAAAATAAATTTAGTTTAATTTAATAATTACTACCCTTTTTTTTAAAAAATTCCAGGAGGTTAAAAATAATCACCCTCTTCTGGTGCCTGCCATGAATCTTTAAATAAAATTGTAACGTAATATTTCATGATTTTTTGTTTAATCAAAAGGGCCACCGAGATTGTTGTCTTATGGTTCTTTTGGCTAATTAGTTTTAATACCACAGTCTGGGTCCCTCTGGAATGTTTGTTTAGTTTAAAAAGGATAAAAGTGAGCACGCATTTTAGACATTGATTTTGAAAAAAGTTTCAAGATCTAAAGAAATATAAAAATATGTTACCGTTTTATTCATTACAATCATTTTTCTATTTAAATTTTATTTAGTAAAAAAATATTTTTATAACAAAAAATATATATTTAAAATGATGAATTATATAAATATAAAGCCACTTACAATATTTACTTTTAAATACCATATACTATATAAGAATGCAACTTGTAACTGTATAACTAGTTACTTTTCTATCTTTAGACAATATTCATAATTCATCCCCTTAATATATATTTTACCTTAATATTTTATATCAAGTATTGATAGATCTTTATTTATATCTCGGCTTGACATGAAAATTTTTTTAGATCAAAATAATTTTAGCTAGATAATATCTAGAGCTATCAGGCCCCTTGATATATATTTTGAGAAATAGATGTGTTAAGGTATATAAATGTTTCTTTTTTCGGGTTCATGAATATGACCATTAAAAAATCTTACAGTTAAAATAATTAGTGACTATCAAAAATTTAATACCTTCCATATATTTTCTCATTAACATAACCCATTATCAAATTCACATTTAAAATCTGTGAACTGACTAAGTGTAGATAAAGCCATTACCGTTTTATCAAAGGAGTGTCATGTATATTGTCAATTGTGAATAGCGAGGAAGATAATATTTTAGGGGCAAATCTTTCTGCCCTCGATATCAAAATAAGAACCCACTATCTATAAGATTAGAAACATATTCATCTCCAGTTGCAGAGTAAAAATTTTATTTCGCAATTGAGAGTTGATTGAATGAAAAGACAAGTTCGAGTTTTATAAAAACAATAAAATCCAAGGCTCCAGTCCTCACTACTAGATTATATTTTAAATTGATATGATTTAATAATTGTTAGGACCCTAACTTTCCGTCTTAATATAAGATTCAGATTTATATCTATTTCCAAAAATATAATGAAATTTTAACAATTTCACTTCAATAACTATTAATAGAGAGATAAAAAAAAATATCTATAGAGATCGTAATAATCGCAACATCCATAATTATAAGGTATTTAGATATAGTTGATCTTTAAATCGCAATTAAAAATCTGATATTGAACCTCAGTAAAGATGTCCTAATCCCTCAGATGTGATTTAAAATTAGTTGTTCTCTATTAAATCTTAACTAAAAAAAAATATAGTTTATAATTCTTCCCAGTCTATATTATTGTTTTATGATTAATATCATTTAAAAATTTCGGTTATTTTTGAGGAAACTTTCCATTTTAAACTTTATCAAAGTTATTGTAATGTTTGTAAATTAAATTATTCCTACAATATTAATAAAATATATATAGATTCTGTTTATATACGGTAAATAATCCTTGGCAGATTTTTTATAATAAAATATAATTTTTTATATGTTGTATGGGGATATGGGATCCGTGGGGATTGGAAATCTCTTGATTTTAAATCGATTTAAAAAAATTTAAAATCCGATTTAACCGGAAATGCATTTTAGCATGTGTAGAGTATTTACCCTATAAATTTCAGCCAATTTCAGCAATAGACATTTTGGTATTCTTTAATTTATATGACAAATCCATATTATAATTAATATAAATTAAGAGTAGTTTCTAAATTTCATTGCCAAATTGTTTTAAATTTACAGTGTAGGTACTCAATACATGCTGAAATAGAATTCCTGTAAAATCAGATTTCAAAATCTAAAAATAGCTCTTAGTAAATGATTTAAAATTGAAATATTCCGAATCCCCACCAATTCCATATCCCCATATGACATAATTATTTTTTATTATATAATAATATATATACATGCCATAGAGGTTTAGCAAATCTTTAAAATTAAATCATTTATAGTGAGCTTTTTAATTTTTGCAAAGCCGGGTATTAAAAAATTATTTGGGCATGACTGTAATTTAATCATTCCTAAATATTATAAACAGTTCTTTATTTTGGTATTCAACTATATATATCTAGGGTTAGGCTTTGTATTTAAAAAAATCGGGCGGGGCTGGGCAACCTTAGAAAAAATGAGATTGCCGAGTCAGGTGCAAATTTAGTCGGGCCCGGTGTAATGTTTTAAAAATACTCCATTTTTTTATATACTCCAATATTTAGTGATATTGACGTTTATGACTGACGTGCATATATTAAATATTACATTTTTAGTGATATTGACGTTTATGACTGACATATAAATATTAAATATAATAAATTTAGTCAATTGGCATTTATAACTGACGTATGAATAATAAAAATTACCTATGATATTTAAGGCAATTAAAAATACTCCATTTTTTTATATACTCCTATATTTAGTGATATTGACGTTTATGACTGACGTGCATATATTAAATATTACATTTTTAGTGATATTGACGTTTATGACTGACATATAAATATTAAATATAATAAATTTAGTGAATTGGCATTTATAACTGACGTATGAATAATAAATATTATTTTTTCTATGTCCTATGATATTTAAGGCAATTTTGCCTTATTCTCTTTAGAAATTATTAGATTTAATATTAAATGTTAAAAATTTATATATTTATTTAAGGTTTAATTCGAAAATATCAAAGATTAACATATAAATCTTGCACTATCTATTATCACGTTACTGCTCAAAGTTAGAAACAATTTTCAGAATAATTTATTAAAATCCTTTATTTAATTTGTATATAAAAAAATCAATTAATAATATATGCGATATAAATAATATATGCTATATGCAATATAAATAATATATGCTATATAAATATTAATTAAAATTAATTATGCGATCAATATGTTCGCTATGATTTATTAAATAAATATTTACATTAAATTTTTTAATATTACTTAATTTTTTAATGGGCATATAGTATGCCCATTTATAAATAGTATGTATTAAAATATTTGTCTGGAGCATAGTTGTCATTGCAACTATCTCCACCTCTGTACCATAAACGGCATTTTGAGCTATGCCCTTCCTCTCCGGCGGGGCACCTATTAAATTAAAAAATTGATTTTATCAAATCTTAAAAATGTTACCAAAAGGTCGAATGTCATTATGCTCTAGCATTTTCTATGCTTTTTCTGGTGTCTTAACTCCATCATCTAAAAAAATATGTATATTAGATTTTTTTTATTATACCTTTTTTGTTTATACAATTATAATCCTCTCCAACTATCGAATTTAGTATATTCATAACTAGATATTTTCAAAAAGGATTTAATATTAAATATATGAAAATATTACCCTTCATATGATTTTCTTCCGCATTAAGCTTTAGATTTTTAATAGCTGGTTCTTGAAAATTTTCATCCTCATCTAAAAAAAAAGGAATATTAAATTTTTAAAAGTATTAACATTTTTTCTGTCCTGATTTAATTGTGTCATCTTGATAAATATATAAATAATTTTTTTTTTAACTATACCTTTTCTTGTAACATCTAAAAAATAATATTGAAAAATAAAAAATAACAAAGAAAATATTTAATGAGAATTTGTGTTGTGATGATTTAATGACACATATTGACGATTAAATAAACCCATTCATGTATAATTATATTGCTAGCAGAAATAATTAAAATAACACATTAGTATTTATGTACATTATGTATAGATATTGATAATTAATATTAAGATGGGTATTTGCTGTTTTGATAATTGAGTTGCAGAAATAATTAAAATAACACATTAGTATTTATGTACATTATGTATAGATATTGATAATTAATATTAAGATGGGTATTTGCTGTTTTGATAATTGAGTTTGAAATGTTTAACCATGAGTCATTATTGTTGATTTGATTCAAATTATGTAGAAAATTATTTGCTGGGGTTGGTAAATTAAGATTAGAGATATTATATTTTTTAAGGATTATAGGAGTATATTTGTTTGAGGGTTTGAAGTATGTGTGATATTTATTGTTTCTTTGTTTATAAAAAGTTGATTATTTAAAGTAGCAAAACCAATAAGAGAATTAGTGATTTCATTACATAATTTCATGTTAAGGTCTCCTCCAATGATGATGTGATTTTTATTGATATCTATAAAATATAAAAGATTAAATAGGCCTGTTTTCCATTCAAATAAAGATATGGCATTCCATTATTTCTCGGAGATGGCATTTTAAAGGCAAATATTTTAAATGTATCTTGAAGAAAATATATAAAACAATTTAACATCAGCCATTTTCCCGCAGACGATTTTTTCATCTGGTACCAAGCATCATGCACATTTTTTTAACACAAAAATATGATTCTGCCTTTACAAGCCATAAAGCGACAATTTGAGATTGTCCATGACTATCTATTACAAGTAGAATAAACAGTGGCATACCTAGATAGTTTAATTTGTAGGTAGCATCAATGAATATCACCTCAGGATAATATTTAAGATAATGGAGCATGCTAGCATCTTGAAAGTAAATGCCCAACAATTCACTATCATTTTCTAGGATTTCCACCACAGCTCCATTATCTTCCCTGAGTTGATTTATTACATCAAGTAATACATTATCAGATGGCTTGTTTAATTTGGCTGAAATATTATGAATATCTCTCAGAGTCATTATCTGACATGAATTAAGAACATATTCTTGTATTTTCACCTTATTAGCTTTAAAAGTGATAGCTTGCTCCACAATTTGTTTTTTTTATTGGAGAAAGCCTTCTTTGTTTAGAGAGCATCTCATATAGTTTTTTATCTTGATTATATAAATCATGTTAGTTAAAAATCAAATAAATATGTCTAACCTAGATCATGGTTTTTATGATCTTTTACAAATGTGACAATATCTAAAGAATACACATTTAGTCTATCACACTGAAGAAAGACTGTGAACATAAAAATACATTCCTTGTGAAAACTAGATGAGGATCTTATACCTCTAGACTTATTTTTTTTTCAGTCCATATTTACATATATAATAAACTCGATTATATTTATATTGAGCTATAAATGCTTTGCTATAAGGTTCCTTTAATAAGTCTGATTTATTAATAACTATGTTAAAAAAAATTCTTTTTCATATATAGATATGGCATCGTTTAATTCATGTATAGAATTAAATTTAGTATTAAGATATAATGACATAATTAAAATAATAAAACTATAGTGTAAAATATATTAATATGAACCTGTTTTTAAATCTTTAGCTTCTTGAATCAATGATAAATCTTTAGCTTCTTGAATCAATAATAAATCTTTAGCTTCTTGAATCAATGATAAATCTTTAGCCTTCTTTTATTTTCTAAAATAAAATAAAATTTATAATGTAAAATATATTAATATGAACCTGTTTTTAAATCTTTAGCTTCTTGATTCAATGATTAGCTTCTTGAATCAATAATAAATCTTTAGCTTCTTGAATCAATAATAAATCTTTAGCTTCTTTTATTTTCTAAAATAAAATTTATAATGTAAAATATATTAATATGAACCTGTTTTTAAATCTTTAGCTTCTTGAATCAATGATTAGCTTCTTGAATCAATGATAAATCTTTTCTTTTATTTTCTAAAATAAAATAAAATTTATAATGTAAAATATATTAATATGAACCTGTATTTTTAAATCTTTAGCTTCTTGAATCAATAATAAATCTTTAGCTTCTTGAATCAATGATAAATTTGTAGCTTCTTTTATTTTCTATAATAAAATAAAATTTATAATGTAAAATATATGAATATGAACCTGTATTTATTTTTTAAAATGGAGTTTAAAAAAGGCGCCAACGGGGCAAATATCCTTTACGACCTAAAAAATTTGACTGGAAATTCAAAAAAATCGCCTCAGCATCATCAGCTCCAGAATAATGTTTCTTGATTGACATGAGCACTTTTTCAAAAAAATATCATTATAAAAATTACATTGATCTAAATATACTCTGATATGTAAATACATTATAAACAAACAATATGATCTGAAAATACTCCACAAATAAGCTTAAAGGAGTATATAAAAAAATGGAGTATTTTTAAAACGTTACACCGGCAAAGAATAAACCTGGCATGGCTAGGCATGAGAATTTTGCCTTAAGCAGACCTATATTTGCCATGAACCTTTAAACTATACTTAAATCTTTAATTTATTTGTTTAACTTTTCATAATTACATAAGGCTAGTTCTAGGCAAACATTTCATATTTAAAAAATTAATATCCAATTCACATTCTAAAAACAGCCTTCATCTATCTAGAAATTAAATGTTAAACATGAATTTTATATACTTAACTAATAAAATGTCTTAAATAATATTTTAAATTATGCAGATAATCATAACTTTTGTTCCAAAAAACGCAAGTACAGTACAGAAATTTTCATCTTTAAAAAATATAAAAATATAGAAAAAATATATATCAAATGTGTAATAATGAAGGTCAGTGAAATATCTTATAGGTAAATTATTAGATTATATTAGAGTATGTGATTTTGAATAAATTTTATATCGTGTATTTGTATTAATTATTTTAGTATAATATTTATTTACTATTTTTAAATAACCAATTACATTATGAAAATACAATATAATAAGAGTTCAATTAAGTTAACATATTAAAATGATTTGTATATTAGCTTTCACTATATAACAATAAATTGTTGTTTTGAGATAATTACATAAATTAAAGGTATATATTTTATATATAATTATCTAATTTTTTGTTTTAAGTCAATAAAATAATCTAAAAAATTAAAACATATATGAAATTATTATATTAAACATGTAATCTATCGCTGATGAAACTTAAAATCCAACAATAAATTTAACACAATAAATTTTATAATTTGTTACATATCTGCACTTCTGAATTTTCTTCAAAAACAACAATTAATTCGGCTAATTTTTTCTACTTAATTTTTTTATTCTTTAGCTAATAAAAATTAATTAATACTCAGTTTTTAGCAGTCAATATGACGCTTTTCATTTATTAAAATAAATGCCATATAAATATTTATTTTATGTTACCTGTGGATCAAAAATAGAATTATCATTTTATAAGCATATGATCATAAATCCTAGATTATGAAGTGACGATGGTTTTGGTGAACTGTGTTAATATTATAAATGGAGAGATCTCCATTCTTGTAGCAGCCTTAAAGAAAAATACTAAATGGAGTATGTTGCAGCATCAAGTTTAAATATTTATAATTTTATTAATACTTTTAAATAAGGATGACGTTAATGATCAGACTTTGAAAGAATTTTTAAAGCTTAAAAATATATTAAAGGATGTTAAAGGTATTATTAATGTTTAATATACTCTTATTAGCTAAAATTAAGCGATATCTGATATTGATCAGAGTATATACCTTAACCCTTTTTTGGATACCATAATTTGTGAGGATACTACAGGTCCTGTTACAAGATTAGCATTGACATCTCTACAAAAATTTATGCAATATAAAATGATAGGTATTCTTGTTTATATATAATTAAATAGCTAATATTTATTTTTTGAATTATATTTATAATATTTTATGAGGTCTTATTGTTGTTTCATCTATTTATTTGCAATACAATATTATTTCTTATTTATATAATAAAAATTACTAATATTTTGTAGAAATATATGATTTACATACAAAGTGTGAGGTTTATTACTAGGAAAGTGACTGACTTAATATTGCGAGTGTAATAAATTAATAAATGATTATTTATGTATATTGTATATTAAAAATAGAATCGAACATTCGAAAAACAATAAATAAAATTTGATATCAAAAATAAATTGAAATATAAATCAGTGGTCGTATTGTTTATAATTAGTAGTTGGTATTACTACAAATGGCGACGATAAATGGAGAAAATAATTCCTTAAATGGAGATAATAATTCCTTAAATGGAGAAAATAATTCCTTAAATGGAGATTCAAAAAAATAGCGGATTTATCTACGATTAAATTTGATAAATTCGAGTTGGATACTTCTATTCACAGATATTTTTCTCAATGGGAAGCCAGTTTTCGGTTAAAAAACGTAAGCCCATCTGAATGTCAATATAAAGATATATTTTTAACATTTTTTGGCAATAAGAATATTGAGTTGGTGGACCGTTTTTGTTATCCTGATTCGATCGAAACTTTATCTTTTAAGGAAATTAAGTCAATATGTTTTAAACTATTTAAACCGACGTCAACAGCTTTTGCTTCTAGATTTGATTTCGTTAGATTACGGAGAACAACTGAAACCATAACTGAATTTGCAAATAAAATTAGAACAATTGGAAAGCGTTGTCATTATCTTAATGATATTGACGAGCGTTTACGTGATCAGTTTATGGTTGGCATGGAAATACCGGGATTGGAAAGAGATCTTAGAGCTCTATATCCCGACGGTCTTGATAGAGATAATAATGTACTGACTTTTCAATTTATTCTTGATCTGGCATTAGCTTCTGAGCGAGCAGATAAAGAAATGGCAAATAAAAATATGCCAGTTGTTAATAAGATAAATGTTAATAACAAAAGAAATGATAATGATAGTAATTATAAACATCCAATAAAAACGACGACTACAATTGATAAAGGCTATAATAAAGTCAAGTATAATAATACATTTGATAAAGATAATAATAACTACAAATATAATAATGATAAAGATTATAATAAACTTAAATGTTATAAATGTGGTTTTATTCATAACCGAGAAGTGAGATGTCCAGCTACAAATGCGGCATGTAATAAATGTAAAAAAATTGGTCATTTTGCAGTTTGCTGTAAATCAAAGAATTTAAATTATATAAGAGTGTCATCAAGTGATTCTATTCATAATATTTGGAAGATTCAACAAAATCGAGAGAATCGAGCAAAACTAACTGCAGAGATAAATGGGTTAGATGTTGAATTTGATTTTGACACTGGTGCACAAGCGTCATTGATAGGAATTGATATATGGACAAGTATTGGGCGACCAAAAATTAGGCCAACCAGTCCATTGACTGCATATGGTGATCATCCGTTAGACGTCAAGGGCGAGACCCAAGTCAATGTTAGGATTGGATCACAGACAAGGACTCTACCAGTGGTAATAATGAATACAACTGGGGTGCCTCTTTTCGGATTACCATGGATTATAGCATTCAATTTAGAAATGCCTCGTCAGGTTATGATTAAACAAGTACTCAATTTGGTCAACAATATTGAAAAAGAAAAATGTTGCATAACACTAGATCCTAGAATTCGAGATTTGATTAATAAACACCAAGAAATTTCGGAAGAGAATCAAGATTCTAAACATGCTTTGGATATTCGAAGTATTAATTTAGATGATATGCAATTGTCAGAAAATATTCTACGAAAAGAGTCGAAGCAAGATTTAATATTAAAAAAAGTAGCAATACATATTCAGCAAAGTTGGCGAAACTTTGATCGTCATAAAGATAAAGAAATAGTTAATTTTTATAATCGACGGGAAGAGCTTTCTGTCAATCGTGATATTATAGAATGGAATGGGAGATTGGTTATTCCTAATAAATTAAGAAATGCAGTGTTAGGAATGATTCACTGGGGACATCCTGGGGAAAATGTAATGAAATCTATTTTTAGATTGTATTGTTGGTGGCCCAGATGTGATGTTGATATAGAAAATTTTATCAAAATATGTTCTGGATGCCAGAAAAATAGACCATGGTTAGAAGTTGATCTAATGCATAATACCTCTGCTGATGCTATGATAAAACGACTAAATAAATGGTTTGCTAGGTTTGGAATACCCAAGTACAGTGTGTCAGACAAAGGACCACAATTCTTATCAGGGGAATTCCGTAGGTATTGTGATTTAAATAACATACGTCATATACGTTCGGCACCCTATCATCCAAAAACTAATGGATTAGCTGAACGTACAGTACGAACTTTGAAAGGTCGGTATTATGCAACGAGAGATTCAATTAGCGATCCCGAAGAAGCTATGACACAGGTTTTAACAACCTACCGATTGGGAGAGCATAGTTCCACAGGGAGATCTCCTGCTAAAATTATGTTTGGGAGGCAATTGAAAACAAGTCTGGATTGGATCCGACCAAATGCCGAACACGAAATAGTAAGGGCTAATGATAAACAAAGCCTTCATCATGATTTACATTCAAAGGAAAGAGAATTTGAAATCTCACAACCTATATGGTTAAATAATGAAAATACCAATGGTTGGAGAGAGGGAGTAATTAAAGAAAGAATAGGACTTTATTCTTATATTGTTGAATCTTCCGGGAAAACATTACGGAAGCATGCAGATCAGTTAAGAAATCGTTTAGTTATCCCAAATCATGAAAGTTCTTTGGAAGTTACAGAAATGGTTGTGCCAGTGAATGAAGCAAATACAAACACAAATACAAATACCACATTACGATGCTCATCAAGAAACCGTAAACCTACAAAGAGGTTTATTGAAGAAATCTAACTTTAAATTGTTTGAAGGAAATGTAATAAATTAATAAATGATTATTTATGTATATTGTATATTAAAAATAGAATCGAACATTCGAAAAACAATAAATAAAATTTGATATCAAAAATAAATTGAAATATAAATCAGTGGTCGTATTGTTTATAATTAGTAGTTGGTATTACTACAGCGAGGAATTTGTTTTTGTTTTTGAGTAAAATTCTCAAGAATTGAAATTGTTAGATTTTAAACTTTTAATAATTTTTTTTTCAATTGAGATTCAATATTGATAAAGATGTTATACTCTTTAAATATTATCCTGGCTCTGAACTTCTAGTTGTTCGAGCCAAAATTAGGTTGAAAAAGTTTTGTAAATTTATTTTTAATATATTTTTAACAACTCAATTTAATATAAACTTTCATCTTTAATAAAAAAAATAAGCTTAATTTTTTAACTTCACCAATATATTTTACATAAATTACACAATACATTTGCATGATTTTTTCAGGGTTGGGCAGTATCGCGGATATTTGTATCTAATTTAAATTTTGGAAAGTATCTTGTATCCAGTATCTAAGATACATATTATTTAAAAGTATTTGTATCTTAACCAACTCTGTATTCAAAAAGATACAGATACTTAAAAAAAAATTTATATTAGTTAATTTAAATAGTATTAAAATTTAAAATGATATTGTTTTAAAATTTAAATGAAAAATTAATCAGAATTTAGATATTTAAAGATAATTTATGATATATGACGTTGGTCGTCATATAGCAATTTGCTAACAATTAGAACTACCATATTTTATTTGAATCATTTTATATCCATCTATTTTAAAATAATGGAAGAAGAAAATTGAATAATATGTTTATATTCATCTTGAGATGATTCTCCAACCGAAAAATATATAAATTTAAATTAAGTATTTTAAATGGGAAATTTTTTCAAGTACTTCAACATGATCATAATAAAATTACTACAGAATTTAAAGAATGCCACAAATCTATAAGTGGTTCTGCAGACTCGTCATAAAATTTTGTCAAGCATCTAAAAGTATAATATATAATTATATAATAAATCACATTTATAATCATATTCATTATCATTTCATATTCCCACATTCGTTGTCTGTGCCATACGATAAGTCTTATTGCTACAGCAGATGTCAGCTATTAAGGATTCTCCTAACATTTCTAAAATTCATCATCCCGCAATAGCCAAATGTATTAAGCTATGGAATGCTAGTAATAGGCCTAAAACTGCAGAACTTATCAAAGCAGTTTTAGGAAAATAATTAGTTACACCTTGCTGCACAAGATGGAATAGAATGTTTGATAGTCTTAGTAGTTTATTAAAATTTAAAGGCGAACTTCCTAAATTATGTCAAAAATTAGAATTTCTATAATTAAGAGATATTGAAATTCAATATTTGGAAGAATATTGCAATATAATGTCCCCATTGGCTATAGCGATTGACAATACAAAGTGAAATCAACTGCTGTTATGGAGAATCAGCTCCAATATTAAATGTCGTTAAAAAAAATTACAAATTTAATTCAAACTGATCTACATTTTTGCAAACCATTAGCTATTGCCGTAGAAAATTCTTTAAATAAAAGATTTAAAAATATATATGATTTTGATAATAACTTTAAAAGCGCATTTTTGGCAACTATTTCTCATCCCTATTTTAAAAATCGTTCGATTGATGGTGAAAAAGAAAAAAATACCTTCAGGATTTGTTAATACATGAAACTTTAATTTTTTTAAATAATAATATTGAAATTGATACGTCAACAAAATCTTCAATTGATGAAGATGATGATTACTTTTGTTTTAAAAGTACCACATCCAATTCTAATAATTCAATAAATGATATCGAATTAGAGGTCCTAAATTATATTAAAGATGACAGGCGCAGTATAAATATGTTAAATAGTTATAAATATATAAAAGAAATATTTATTAAATATAACACAATATTACCCTTTTAGCTTTGCTTATATGGTTAATAATCGTCAAAGATTGAACGATAAATTTGAAAAATTAATATTATTAAAAAATAATATTGATTTATGATGCTGATTTATTATTATTTACTAATTATACAATTATTAAAAAAAATATATTATCTTATATAATAAATTTGTTATTTTTTACAATTTATTTTAAAGTTTTTTTATAAATTTATATTATAGATAAGAAAATAAAGCTTTATACATTTTGATTATTTAAAGTTTTTAAAAAAAGTATCTTGTATCGTAGATACTTTTTTAAAAAAGATATAAGTATCTTGTATCTTATTGAAATTTTTCTAAAGTATCTTGTATCTTAAATACATAATTTTAAAAAGTATCTGTATCCGAATACAATTTTCTGAAAATTTGCCCAACCCTGGTTTTTTTCTTTATTTAATAAAAAAAATAAACAATTTATATTTGATTCCCTTCTTTTATATAGTAAAAAATTACATCAAAAATATATGAACATGATTTTTTCTTTTATTTATTTTTTAACATAATAAAATAATAATTTTTTTAATGTAGTAAAAATAATATTAATTTTTTAAGATAATAAAATAATAAAGTAATAAATAGGGGTGTACCGATACCACTTTTTGGAGGCCGATCCGATATTTCAGATATTAAATTGATATCGGCCGATAACCGATCCGATATCATATCTAATTTTGTATTCTGCAAAGATAACGGTTTTAATTTTTAATATACTTTTTATTAGTACAACATCTATAATTTTACTATACCATAACATATGTCATTTAAATATATTATAATGGTCAGTTATAGTTTATATTCAATTCAATTGCTATTATTTATATAATAAGTAATAACATTAATCTATTTACATAATTAGTAATAAAAAAATATATTATGAAATTTGAAATTAATATTTAAAATTAATATATTGAAGATTTCTTTTTATATCAGAGATATGTCGGCGGTGATGGGGACTGTTATTATCACTAGCATCACTAAAAACAGATACTGAAGAGATTAATGAACACTTTTTTAAACAGAATGCGAAAAAAAATAACTATATTGCAGAATGTTTATTAACTAATTATTTCTATTAAAAAAATTAAACATAAAAATGTATTTCGATTTTATTTATAAAAATAAATGGTTTTTTAGATATAACTTTTTTAAAATTTTGTTAAAAGCGCCATTTTATATCGGATCGGAAAATTTTATAATATTTGCCGATAACCGATATTTTAAAATGAGCGAAATATCGGCCCGATCCGATCCGATATAAAATACCGGTACATCCCTAGTAATAAAAATTACTTCAATTTTTTTAAACGTAGAATAATATTATATTTTTATTATAACATAAAGAGTGTTTTAATATTTAAGGATATTTTTAAGAAAAATTACAATGGAAGCAATGCATCCCTTGCTTCTATGGATCCTTTGTCAATGATTTACACACAGTATTGACTATTGAGGATAGATAATTTCAAATAGATAAATTAAATATACTATAAGGTTTACATAGGCCCAGACTAAAGGACAAAATTTTTTAAAAAATTTATGGGCTTGGCAAAATATTTTGACAGGCCAGGCTGACAAATTTTTTAAAATTTTTTAAAACTTATTAAAATTTAATTTTTATTTATATTTTAAGAAAAGTTATACATGATTTTATTTCACCTTGGTTGATTATCAAAATTGATATTGAATGATTCATTTGTTCTTTATGGGCAATGGACAAATTTTTTTTATTGGGCTGCTAGGCTAAAACACCTATATAAAAATCTTAACTAACTGGTTTATACAGAACTATGCTAATTATTACATGATGTATATAATTTAATTTTTATTCTTAGATGCATTTTCATACAATGCAATCGGACAAATTATCTACTAATGTTGAACTACCTTTATTGAAAAACTCTTCAACTCTAGTTACATTTTGAAAAAAATAACTTTAGCCTGTAACTAGTTATATTAAAAAATTTATTTTATTATATTAAATAAAAAGGAAGATAATTTTAAAAAGGTACCTTTTTTTTGTGATAATAATATTGTTTAAGATTTTATTAAGCAGCTTTGCAATTAGGTAATTCAAAAAATAAACATTTTTAAGTTTATCAAAATTCTTATGTTTATAAATTAAATTATACAATATATATTATGATTTGATCTTATATGATAAATATTTGACAATAAATAATTTATAAAGTTCTTATTTACTGCATAGAATAAATTCACTTTACCTTTTGAAAACATATTTATGTTAACTTTAATGCACCTATTATATTTTAGTAACTATAGCTAGCATTACAAGTAAGGTAATTATGCTATGTAACTATTAACACTTTATCTTTTGGGCAAAGTAAATTCTTAATGTAACTTGTTACTTTTAAAAGTAACATAATATAGCTTAATATCTATATTAAATGTATTGGATATATTAAATTTTTTATTTTTAAAATATTTTATTATTTATTTTAAGATTTAAAGCAAAATAATATATCAGTCACTATTGATAAAATAGCTCATTCTTTGATACATGCTAGATTCATAGGAACTGATCCATCTGCCGATGAAGTTGTTCTTCAAAAAATTTTGCAAGTTAAATAAAAATTATATTTATTTGAAGATTTATACAGTTTATCGATTTCTTATTAACCAAACATTTATACATTATTACAAGTATAATTCCAGTATGTTATACCAGAACTTAAGCGAAAATTTGGAATCATATTATAATATAATTGGCGAAATTTAATTTATATTTGATTCAAATATAAATGATTTTACATTTTGAGCCAAGGTTTTTATGGGCTAGTAAAGATTGTATATAATAAATTCGGGTACAAGATTTGCTAAAACATTGTTCCAAAAGTTTAATGCTAAATTTCACAATTTTTTAAATTCGTTTTAAAGAAGGGATTCCTTATTTCGCCTACTTGAATTGCGCCAATTTATTATAGGGGCCAAGGCTAGGATTATATATTTTTTTAAATGAACATATATATATATATATCACCCAAAGAATTTTTTTCTATATAAACTATTTACCGACACAAGTTGTCTTTAGTATGAGTAGAGAATTTGCTATTTGCAGTAACAATACCTTTGCACAGGAGAAGGTGCTACTAGTGGAAATCGCCACAGTTTACAATTTTAAAAATTAGTTTTTATATAAAAAACAAACCCCAAATTATGCTTTATATATCATTTTAAAACTAATTTATGTATTGATTTATTTTATTAAATCCCTTTTGTTTTTTAAAATAATTTATTTTATTTACTTATTTTTTAATATACGCAAGATGGCGAATTTGACGAAAGCATTAAATAATAAAAAGGCAATATTTTGGCTCTAAACTTGATTTTTTGTTTTTACTCCTAAATACTAATACATCAAGATACAACTGTTTTTAATTATTGTTTTTCAAAATTTTCACCTTTTATAAAATTTTTAGATAAAAAAATTTGTAATCATTTTTTTAAACGTTTATTTTTACAAAATCAACTTGCATACTTCCTTCTATTCAATCTATTGTCTCAGTAAACTAGTAATTTTTTATATATAAGCAATAATCAAGCTTGGATTTTAGCCTTAAAATTTATTTTTTCTACAAAATTGTCTCAATATCATCCAGTGGTACCTATTAGCTCTGATGTGCATCTCTGCTAAAAACTCTTTGAATTCACCAATGAGAGTTATACTTTATAATTAAATAGGGTCATCTCATTCCACTTGAGAACAGATTAACGTGACATATATCAAATAAAATGAAATTTTTTATAATGATTAGGATTGTTATGAAGATTATTGTAAAATTGAATTTTTTGCTCTAGATTTATTAGTTCCGGAGATATGAGCCTTAAAATAACGCGATACGATTTTGAAATATCTATAAAATTAAGGATTACTCTAGATCTATTTTTGATGTTTTAATAGCTCTTGAACTCTTAAATTTTTTGGCTGCGACACGAATTTCTGTGTCCGATTTTTAAAAAAAGCTAACTCAATATTTTAGCTATAAAAATATTGCCTAAGTAAACCTCGAAATTTGGCTTATAGATGTCCAAACCCAGGTTTGCGTTAAATTTTTTTTATAAAATATTGAGTTCGAAATTTTAAAAATCAGCTAAAATCGAGCCATTTAACAACATTTAAAAAAAATGAATAGCGCTAACACCTCTTATTATATCTTATTTATATTTTTTTAATAAAAATAATTCACTATAGGTAATGCAAACTTTATTCTTTTCGCCCATGGGTCCCTTCTTAAGCGATCAATCTGTCTGCGGAATATTGCATAGTTTTTTCAGAATCGCTTTTGAAATGAGATTAGCGGGTTAGTTTTATCATTATTTATACATAATGTAACAATATTTAAAGTAGGACTTTTTAAAGGTAACGAAAGTCGCGTCGATATTTTATATAGTTAATTTTTTTTAAATTTCAAAATGGGTATTTATAAGAAAATTCTTTCACCTCTTCCTCTTGCTTTTATCTATTTGTCACCCTAAATTAGACTGGCAGATTAATTCTCAAATAGAAAAGATGGATATGCTAATTTATATTATGACTCAGGAGTTATTATATTTCATCATTTCCAATCCCTTCAAATTCAAAATGTCACTTGATCCTAGCAACCAACGCGGTTTCAATTTTTGTGACGATATTTCCGTAATCATGGATTAATATGGACTATTTTAAAATTCTTTTTAAAAAAATTTCTGCATCAGACTCAGACCTTATTACACTACTCTCCTCCCTATTTAAATTTTTTATCTTTTTATGACCACTTTTTTTATTAAACATAATTCTACAATTCCCTCCAGTTCTTCTATTGTTTTTTTAGGTCAGCTATGAATGTTTTTAAGGGGGGAGGGGAATTTTTTTAAAACTTTTCTCATAGGACATACAAATAAAGATTTTATTTACCCATTATAAAAAAAATATGTATATAAGGCTTTCAACAAGTTATTTACTTGTTCTTAAAGTGCGCGTCAAATAATAAATTAAGCGTATTTTCGATAGGATTAATTTAATATCTTATGAGAAATATAATAAAATTTTTCGGACGGGGCTGCTGAATTATAACTTGTGAGCATTAATTTATATTCTTCAAAAAAAAATTATATTTCGCCTTAGCAATCAATCATTAATCTTTTTCACTCTCTCTCTTGATACTCTATTTATATAGCCGGAGCACTGTTTCCTAAAATTATTTTATTCGGGGCAATCAGAGCTCTTGTTTATTTTTTAAAAAAAATATTTACTTAATCCTTAAAACTTTAAAAAAAAACTAAACAAAACAAGAATTATTGAGACATTATTCGGAGAATGCTTTGACTGAAATATTTTTGGAGATTTTGGATAGGCTAAAATACCTAGGTTATAACAAGACGAATCCTGTATCCTTTAAAAAGACTACAAACGCGGATATTAAGATACGCGACGCAAATGACAACTCTCTGGTATGAAAAATCTAATTTTTAGTGAAATTGTCATCTTTATAAATTATGAGTTTGCGTTTCGATAAAATTATATAAGAGAAATATTATTCGATTATATAAATGAGCAAATTTATTGCAAACCTTAGACAAATGAGCCAAATAAATAAATCATTAGGGCTTGTACAAATATTAAAAGTGAAAAGAATATTTTTAACCCTATAGCGGCTTTTAGGATTATAGGCTGATTAGAGTTATTGTTTTTGGTTTTATATAAACTTAATATATATGCTCAGTTTAAATATATATAGAGATCTGCAATGAGCGAGTTTTTAACCCGAAACTGCCCGCCCATTATTTAGATTTTTTTAACTTTCGCCTACCATCCCAAGATTTTTAAAAAAATTATTCGCCTACCTATTTGTCTAAATGTTTTGTTTACCTTGCCCGCCCAATGTTTTAAAATTATTTTTGCGTGAAACTTTTATTATTTATAGCGCAAGTTTAAAAAATTTTGAAAGACGTGATTATATCGGAATTGTACTTCCAACATATGACCTCCTGCACCAGAGTTCGAAACCTGGTGAAATACGTTCAAGAAAATTGGATTCTTCAAAATTTAAAAAAAAAATCACGCCATAAAAAGATCTAAGTTTTTAAATTTCTTGAAAACACCTGGTCCATCCATAAAACATATCCCCGAAGTTTTCTAAACCCCCAGCTACATATTCATTTATAAATGAATAAGAAAAATATATGAGTTTAAAAAAAATGTAAATTACAAATAAGTTTAATTTTTTTTAAAAAAAGAAGATATTTATCTCTAAATCTTTCAGGAAGAAAAAGAAAATCAGTGCACCACCAATTACTATATAGACCATGTTATACATTTATTTTTGTTTTGTTAATAAAATACTATATTGTGAATTCATACTTTCAAAATTCTTCCCAATACTTTGTTTTCCTTTTAAAAAAAAAACAAAAAATGAAATATAAATTCTTCCTTTTCCTTTTTTCTTATATTAATATAAATATCAAGACGCGCGAATTTATAGATGGTAATTGCGTATCCGCAAATAAGGATGATATAAGTAGAAATCATAGACAAGTTTATTATAAAAACATTTAATTTATTTTAATAAATTCTTTTGAAATTTTATTTTTCTTAATCCTGCTCACTGGAATCATTATATAACTTTCTGGTTTCTCGAAGAAATAAATGGAAAGAAAAGGAAAATAAATTATTAAAGAATGATTTACAAATATTTTATTCTCTCCCCCTCCCCTTCTCCTCCCTCTCTACTATTTTTCAAAAAAAGGTTTATATTGATAAGATATCTGACAGTGCTTACGACGAAGAAATTACTTCCTATTATTCTAATAATAATTCTGAGCCTAGCGAACAGTCGGATGAGCACATCAGAGATAAAGGGATGATCAAATTAACCACATCTGGTATTATATATAATACACTTATTTACTAGTAATTAAGTTAAAATAAATCATTAAAAAGCTCGACTAATCATTTATTTCCTTTTAAAGAAGGGTATAAATTTTTTTTATTAAACCAATGTTAAAAAAAATATATTAAAAATTAATAATTTTAAAAAGTATTATCGGTTATTTTAGTATTTTTTAAATTTAATTTATTTTTTTAGATAAATTATATTTTTTTAATACCAATTTTATGAAGAGTCCGAAAAGGCTGCAGATAATAAAGACGCCGATACTCTTCGCTGCAAAATGTATGGTTATGCTAGCGTCAATGAACTCATAAGATTTATCGTTAACTTGACGTCTCCCACATTGCAATCCGAAAAGTTTTAACACACACTATGATTTGTTGATTAACATCTAAAGGGAGAATAAATGAAAAGAAGGAAGAAAAGAGGAAAGCAAGAAAGATGATTAAATTCCTTTTTATTTATAATACTACCTTTTGTTAAACCTTAAAAAAATAAAAGTTTTAAAAGTGCAAACAAAATTATTTAAACATTTTAAAACAAATTAATTAAAAATAATCGAATATTTTATAGCTACCTTTTGAATTTTTTTAAAAATATTACATTCATAGGCAGCATAACGTTAATAGCGATATAAAAATCGTATATTCTCTAAATTTGTTGACCATTGCTTTCGAAACCAAGGCTGAATTATTGATGGAAAACGTATTTATACTTAGATTGGTCAGGGATAAGTTATGCCGCAATTTGATTGAAGTAAAAGAAATATTTATCATCATTTATCTTCTTCGTCTTGTTCAGTGCTCCTTTAATTTTCTCCTTTTTAACTCTCTTGCGTATCGCCACAAGGGCCCTGTCCAAATAAATTTTGAGTGTTAACAGTCAACAAGAAAAAAAATATAAAAAAGATGTATATATATCTTTACTTTTCACGGCCAAAAATGCCAATAAAAAACCTGTAAAAATACTATTATTGTTCCTTCTTGGGAACCCAGCTCAAAAATATTTAACCATATTTTTTTTTAATTAGAATTTTTACTGATAGTATAGCATATATATTAAATGTTTAATAAAATTTCAGGCTTCATTTGTTAATTTAATAATATATATTTTAAGTCATTTTTGCAATTTTATTCATATTTGTTATTACTTAAACCTTACAATTTACATAACCAGATGATAACAATAACCAATGTAAAGCGCGAATCGAAAGTATATATTTTTTAAAAAATATATAAGCTAAATACTACAACCGGATCATATTATAACAGACATTCTCTCGGACAAGGCTGGACTTGGATTTCGACAAAATTTTTAATTATATTTGTTTTCTAAATATTTTTTTTAAGGAATAACACCTAATTCTTATATTTTCCCTCGGCGCTTATAATGATTTTTATTAAATGTTTAATTTCGGACTTTATGTTAAATATATATAACTTTCGATTTAACATGCTTTCCATTCCTCTGTTAACAAATACGAAGATTTGAATATGAAATAAATAATACTTTATTAATGAAATTCATAAACAAAAAAAATTAATGAAATTCATAAACAAAAAAATATATTTTTTTGTAAGCTTGTTTTTGCTAAAAAAAAATTATGTTTATGAAATATCTTAGTTTTTTTTTGATCCGAGCACAGAGAATCCTTTAATGTCATTCTTTACCACCTTCGTTTAATTATTTAGAGTTTATCAAATAACAACACTTAATTCTTATTTTTATCCTGGGATTATATTTCCTTTTATATTTGTCCTACAAAAAAACTAGCTTCTAAAATCGGAAAAAATAACAATAATCGCTTCAACTCTTAGGCTCGCATTCTTTTTATTCAGATCATCCAGGAGGCATTTGAAATATCAAATGGAAGTAAAACTATATTATTATTTTTTATATTTATTAAATAAATTGTAAACCCTTTCTCAATGATAAATCATTACCTTTCTTTTTTAACAATGTTGTTAATAGAATCCGTTTATCTGCCAAAGTTGTATAGACATTAAATGTATTCCGCCTATCCCATAAAATATAATAATATAAATAAAACAACTATCCTATTTTGACAAACGAGATATATATAATATATATATACTATACTCTGTAATATTACCAATAAATTTATTATAATCATATTTCTTCAGAAGTTAATGGAAATTTGATAAATCTAAAAAGGGCTGTTCCAATTCATTCTTATTTCATGATATTTATGGGGGAAGGGTGTAACTAAGAAAATTTATTTTGTTTAATTACCTCTTGAATATTTAAATGATCTATATTCATATTTTGAGTTGATCAATAATTAGAAAAATGGGAAAACTGTTGAATCATATGTAATTTTTCTTAGTCACATAGTAATGAAGATAAAATTTATATAAAGAAATTACTATATTATTGCATACTCTTTTTTTATCCCTTAAAAGATGTTTTTCGGAAAAATCTTGGAAATTATAAGCCTGGAGGGCGTGCTGTACCAAAAGAAGGAATACATTTTGGATATACTCGTTCAATTTTTCAAAATACCCAATTTTTCCTCCGAACTTTATCTTAACTACGATTGTGACATATACGGCAGTGATATATTAGAGGATTGCACCAAATTTTTATCCAAAGTTTTAAAAGATTTTTTTTTTTTAAAAAAATAACCCCTTAATTATTCTATTTTTTATTTGTATGCGGTTTTTTATTATTCTTGTAGATACATTGATTATCAACTATAATATTCTTTTAAGGTTAACTTCTGGTCGATTTAAAATTACTCACCTCAAAGTTTGAAGTGTTAAGTTGATTTTTATTCATGATTTTATTTTCACGTGTATTTCCATTTACGGCTCCTGCGCTCGCCAAAAGAACGCATTTCCTATAACGGGCATATACAGTATCCATATCCTTTCCCTGGAAGCCTTATTCGCCATAATTGACGATATATCGTTCAGGTGCAAGGAGTTATTATCGGTCGTTAATGGACACCCCCATTCGCCGCTCAACGTGGGAGACAATGACAGCAAGGCATTGCCAACCGGCGAGACAGTAAATTATGACGTCAAATCGAGAGAAGATGGCGGCAAGGAATATTATACTAGCAGCGATTCTTCAAAAATACCTTCCGAAGATGATATCCTGGATTCGAATTATGAGACTAACGAAGCGGTCGATTACGTGGATATGGTACAAACGCGCGATTTTAGTCCCTTACAATGCATTAAGAACAAGAAAAAGGTTCTTTTTAAAAAAAAATTATATAGCTTAACAAAATTTTGATATGATTTTTCTGGTATGCAAATAAAAATCATACAAAGTTTGGTTTTTATGTGAATAGTCTGTTGGATAAAAGTTTGGAAATAAAATAAATCTATTTCTTGGATATATTAGATTTTAATAGCCGGCACCGAAAAGTTCAACTCAAAACCTTCCAAGGGTATCCAATATTTGAGAGAAAACGCATTTTTCAACGAAAGCGTCAACGAGGAAAGTCAAATCGCCCGTTTCTTGAGAGAGAATCCCGCTCTGGATAAAAAGATGGTGGGAGAATATCTTAGTAACCGCAAAAACCTGGAAACCCTGAAAGCTTTTGTTTAGTGAGTGACTTGGGGCATATAAATATTTTTTTTGGAGACGTTTTTTTTTATGAATAATGTTAACTTTAAAAAGGACTTGTTATAAATGGTTTAGTAATTAAGGGTAATAGGCATCTTAATCTTTAATAAGAACTAATGTTTTTACATGGTTTTAGTAAATTTTTCTTGCGCTTTAGCCAAGTTTATAAAAACATTAAATTAAACATTTAAATTATAAAAAGAATTAAAAGAAATAAAGAGAAAACGGAGAAGGGAAAAAGGAATGTAAATAAATGAAAAAAAGAAGGTATTTTAATAAAAATTTTTATTTGTTATATTTACATTATTTGCCTTTAAGTTCGTTCGATTTTGCGAATACTCGTATTGATGAGGCACTGAGAATGTATTTGGAAGCATTTCGACTGCCCGGTGAAGCCCCGCTCATTTCACTCATGTTAGAAAATTTCGCTCACCATTGGCATGTGTGTTAACAATTACGTTTTTTAAAAAAAATATTTAATCAATTTTATGAGATTTTAATCATGTTGCGATTTAAATTAAAATTACATTTTTATTATAACGAGCAATGTGATTTTCCCCCACAATTAATATAACTGTTGAAAATGTATTTACGTGAAAGGGAATTTGGGGTCCACGTTCTTTCAAAAAAGTATTACCCCTTTATTTGCCAAAGAAATCTAATTTTTAAATGATCGTTTTATGGAATTTATATGCAATTAATAGTGTATCAGTAATTACAAATGCAATAAATTAGTCATTTACAACTAATATCATATAATTCTGAATACTACAAAATTCCCAAGGTGAGTAATGGCGAACCATTTGCGAATGAAGATGGAGCTTTCGCTTTAGCATACGCTGTCATAATGCTTAATGTCGATCAACATCATCAAATCGTTAAGAAACAAATGAACCCCATGAATTCTGAGGTTTTTAAACAATTTTGAGTTAACTTTAGTAAAAAAAATAATATTCTGTTTGCTAAATAAAAAATTATTATTAATAATCAATTCATATTCAATTAGGATTTTATCAAAAATCTCTCCAAAGTCAACAATGGTAAAGATTTCGACAAAGAGATGTTAAGGGAGGTCTACGAGGCTATAAAATCAGATGAGATTATAATGCCGGCCGAACAAACCGGAATTGTCAAAGAAAACTACCTGTGGAAAGTTTTTTTTAAAAAAAAATTGATTTATATATCGTATCACTGGCATAGGCTTGAGAAAATAGAGAGAACATAAATGAGTTCAGACGTTTAGGCCAATTTTTGGCCGAAAACTATGACTTCGGCCTCGGGGTTTTTCTTAAAAAGATAGGAAGCTAATATAAATTAAAACTTTTTAATGTTAACGGATTTTCTCCGGCAAGCTCCCGAAGATTGAGCCTAATTAGCCAACATTTAACCATTGCCCAACTATAGTTCGGACGAATTAACAATAGGCTATTATTAGTATTGTTAAACGAATCGATTTTTAAAAACGACTAATCCACTATTTTAGATAAAAAATATTACGCAAATTTGAGATTTCGTTTATAGATGTCCAAACCTTTCAGCCACCTATGACCAAAATCTGCAGGGTTGCGTATGGCTAAAATATTGAGTAAGCCATTTTTAAAAATCTAGTCGCTAATATTTTTTTACTTATATTGATGTCTAATTGTGATAAATAATTTTTTTTCAGAATAAAAAGGAAGAAAGTGAGAGAAAGAAACAACAATACTAATTTTAATTAAGCCCAATTACGTCTTTAAAATGTAATTTTAACAAATATGCCACTGCTATTGCTATCGCTATCCATTATTTATAATTTCCTTTTTTTAATAAAAAAAAATTCGAATTTAGATACTTTTAAGGCGAAGTGAAACAACCCCTATTCATTATTTGGATTCTCAATCAACCACATGCGATTCCGAAATATTTGATATTTTATGGGGACCCGTTCTAGCCGCTTCTTCCTACATATTCGATAAGACGAAGGACGAAAATATTATCAATAAGATAATGGGGGCTTTTAAGTTTTTCTCATATTATATTACTATAGTACTGTAAAGTAGGCGCTATTCAGAAACGAACGAATAATGCACTATTCATATTTATGCGGATAATATATTTAAATTTATAGTTCGGTCCGGTTTTTTCTGACTAACGGGTCCAGCGTTCGGTCCAGTCCGGGCTGACCAAAGATCGATTAAGATCATATAAAAAATTTATTATATTAGCTCAATATTTAAAATATTAATTAATGCCATTTAACTATTGTAAAATATAAAATTTAAGTTGATAATGATATAATTACTCTCTGTATTCTACTACTCTCTAATTGCTAGCTATTGATTTCCTTTGTATGATTTTTTATAATTATTATATATCTTGTTCTCTTGCGTTTTTATCTATGAGATAAGAGAATGGAGATTTGATTTAGATTTTTTTGTAATATTTTATGGAAGCCATAGCTTTTTTGGCATTTTATCATAAATTTAATATGTGTTTCTTATTATAATAGGTATGTCATTAGTTATTTATGAGAGAAAGATTGTTTTATTAGCTCCTTCCTGGTCTTCGTTTTATTATGCTTTAATTTACTAAGCATCAACAAATAAAGAAGAGAAGTGTAAAAATAAATATTTTTTCTTATCAACAATCGCCTTGATGAAATTAGTATATAGGAACATTAACTTTATCGTGAATAGCTTATATTAGATGGGACTGGACGGGTTCTATGGTCTGGTCCCACCCGACTTAACAGTCTGACAGTCCTGTCTTAGAAAAGATCGGATAGCACCGAACCTCTTCAAATACTATTTCCATGTATACATAAAAAGTAACTAATTTAGTAGTCTTTGATTTCTTGATTTTTTTTTATTGGTTGCATGAGGATTTTAATTTTGCAAGCGATATAATTAATGCTAACATTAAATAATAACACAAAGGTGCATTTTTTTTAAAGTGAATAATTTTTGCTCCCTGTGATTTAATTTATAAAAAGCTTGACGTTTTTAAAATTAATACTTGGAAATTCTTTTAAATAGGGCTAAACTTTTTCAGGTGCATAAATAACTATTTATGAATTAATAAAATTCAAAACCCCCAAAAATATATAATCTTTTTTTTTTAAAAAAATGGTAAATTAAAAACTTATAAATGTCATCTAATATTTAGATTAATTTATGTTTCTAATATATAAAAATAAAATATAAACTTGCACAGTTAAATGTAACGAATAAGAATAATATTTATTTTTAATATATAAGTAGTGTTGTTAAACAGCTCGTTTTGAGCCGATTTTTAAAACGGCTAACTCAATATTCCATCCAGAAAAATATTATGCAAGCCTAAAGATTTTGCTCATAGAAGGAACAAAGGTCTAGACATATATTAACGAAATCTCGAGGCTTAGGCGTAATTTTTCTGGCTAAAACATTGAGTTAGCCGTTTTAGAAAATCGGTTCAAAATAAGTCTTTTAACAACACTATATATAAGTGATTTTTCAATTAAAATTTTCTGTGCGCTTAATTTTAAAATTTTGTAAGTTGTATGAAATTTATATCGTTGATTGACTTCTTTTTTTAACTTAATTTTTTTTATAAATTTAGAAAATGTGCGTCTATTGCGAATCACTTTGAATTGTCGGATGTTATGGACAAATTGATTATCACACTTTTCAAATTCACCAATATCACGAACACTAACGAAGTACTATCTATATACATTGATTTTCCAAAATCATTAAAAAGTTTATAAAGTAAAAAGGATAAGCCTTTTGATTAATTTATTCAATATTTAATCCCTTTATTTATTATTATAAGAACCCAGAAAATATTCCGGTCTTGTTGGGGAATTCTTACAAATCCCTTACAGCGTTAAAGACTTGCTTTTTGTTCGTTCGGTATCATGGGGATATTCTGAAAGAGGGTTGGAAATATTTTATCGATCTTATGTTTAACTTGCTCAAATTAGGCCTTCTCCCGGATGACCTTATGGAGGTATAATTATGCATCATTAAAAGTATGTTCATTAAATATATTATTATTTTGGCCACTTATAATTTATACTGTTAAATTTATAAATATGCTATAACAATCATAAATATGTTTGCACGATCATATTCGATTACTAAACGATATTCCACCTAATAAAATAGTTTAAATTTGTGCTCCGTTAAATATTTATTACATAAAATATCATTCCAGCTTGAAGACCACTTAGCTCCTAATGGCAAGACCCCTTTACTTTCTGCCTCTCGTCGCCGGCTCAGACTTTTAAACTCCTTTTCGGAACACTCATCCACTTTTTCCACCCAGCCTAATACCGGAACTGGCTTATTCAGTTCCTTTTATTCCTACCTCACGTCCGCCACTTCTAACACCGTAAACATTTCTACCGATTATGAAACGGAGCTTCGTTTATTGAATAATGGCAAAGAGATGTCGGCGAGGGATAAGACTGCTATAGACTCCGCCAAGCTTTGCATCGAAACGGAGTGCCGACCTGGAGACTTGGTGCTGGATAGTAAGTTTTTGAAGACCGAAAGTCTTAGAGAGCTTTTAAAGGTTAGAATTTTAAATAAATTTATCTTTAAACAGTTACCTACAACTCAATGGAGGTTACGTTTTGGTTGCTTCGACTTAGAGAGATCGTCAATATTTAGAACTTAAAATTATTATAATTAATGTTAAATATAAGAGTTGCGCACAAGTTTTAAACCTTTTTTAATCCATAGGGCGTGTCCCATACAAGATGTAGCATAATGGTACGCGTCTCGACATAGCATCATTGGGATGTGTCTCGCTCTATAAATAAAAGACGCAACGTATGTTGAGATCTCTCTCTGCAGCCTTAGTTTTTATATTTTTTTAGTAAAATTATTACAGCCAAGATATTATTCTTAATAATTTTTTATATCCCCGGTTACACCACCCCCATCCACACAAAAAATACCACAGACTCTCATGTACAGCACATCCTCCTCAGACCAATACACTTATGAGCAGGAACCTTCTGATTTCCATCTTAAAAATAGACCTGACCTCATTATGAGTCCCGATAAAGACCGTACAGAAAATTATGATACATTACCTTCTCCCTTTGGATCAACCAATATTCCTTCCAACGATAACTTGTCCATCGCGTTTAGAAATAGGATAAATACTCCTCATGCCGCGAATGAACCCGTTTCCGAGGATTATCTAGTTTTTAATTTGGAGCTCCTAGTTGGTATCATCATCCAAAATCGGTTATTAATTTATTTTTACTTCTTTGCAGGGTCAAGCAAACTGTAATTTTCATAATACAATTAGTACTTAGCTTGAATCTGCCAATTTTATTTCTTAACATCTTTAGGAAATTTTCTGTTTTTTAAACTTCAAAACAAACATTAGGGATAGAGTTCACCTTATATGGCCTTCCATTCGTTCCTATTTCTACGAGATAATCGTCAATCGTTCCACCTCACATTCATCCCCTAATTCTTCCCTCTATTGTCATTATTCCACTTTGAAGCAACATATATCGGTAACTAATAAGAATAATATCCATTCTCAACCTTCTTTTTACAAGTCGTCCTCTAAATTTAACAAATCCCATAAATCAATCTCTCCATCCTCTCCCGATACCGCTTCCCATATACCCTCAGTAGCGCCAATATGTCTTAGTGAAAGTAATAATGGAAAATTTACTAACTTGGGTTTGAATCCCGGTAATGGTAGTAATCTTCATACAGTATCCGGTACCAACAGTCGCAAAAGACCGTCTTCTTTCGTCAATTCCAAAAGGTTTCATCTATTTTAAGACTATAAATTATATTTATTTAAATTCCAAATATTTATAATATTAGCTCAAATTGCATTGGTTTTTTTAAATAAATAAATAATGTTATATTTTTTTAAAAAAAGGCGCCAAGTAACGCAAACTCCTAATGTGACCTTTTCTGAGTTTTTCTTGGAGCGGGCGGTAATCGGACTCTTGAGAATAGCTACACGACTGGCTAGAAAGGCAAATATAGTTTCAAGAGTAATTGGTTCTCTCAGAATTTTACTTCTTTTTTCGGAAGGTAAATGAATGCTTATATAGATGCAATTCGAATTTATTTATTAACAGTTTGGTTTAAATGAAAATATTAATGATAGTCATTTGGTAATGTAAAATTTATTCAAAATATTTTCTTTAAAATTTTAAAAAACTTTTTTATTATTGATTTTTAACTATTTAGTAAAATTATCGCCTTCAATCTCTTTTATTTAAAATCACTTTAAATTACATTTATTATATTTCTTTAAAGATACCTTTTTCTAAGGCATCATGGAATCATTAATTTTTAGATTAGATAAAGATAGGAGTTAGAACTTGAAGTTAAGAATTAATCTCGAAATTTCATCTAATGTATAATTTGATAATGGTATTAATTAGAGATCTGCAAAGTTAGGTCAGGCCCCTACCCGGCCCGAGTCCGGCCCGGCCCGAACCCTAATTCTATTTAAAATAATCGGATTCGGGGCGGGCCTAATATTTTTAAAAAAATTTCGGCCGGGTTGGGTCAGACCTTGGAAATTTTATTAAATATATCTAAATTTATCAATTTTATATTTAATTTTTTATGTAAAATAAAAATTTTTGATTTAATTTATTGAAACTAAACGCTATATAACATATGTCTTCTATTTTAAGTAATTATAAAAATTAATTTCTATATTTAAATAAATTCGGGTCTGGCCGGGCCGGTAATTTTTTTTAAAATAAATTTCGGGTTCGGGCCAGGCCGGCAAAACTTTTTTAAAAAAAATTTCGGGCCGGGCTTGAAAAATTAGGCCCGATGCAGATCACTAGATAATATTCTTATTCTTGTGTAAGATCTTTAAGATGATTTATAATGAATGATAATCATTTATCAATATAATAATAATGCACTCTGTTCCAATTGAACTGATGCCCCCTTTTTAAGCAATAAATCTGCCAATTCTAAAAGTAATTCAATATATTTAAATTATCATTGTTTTTTCAAATTTCATAAAATTCTAGCAACAGGGTCCAAAGTTATGCACATTCAAAGTAGGTCAAACAAAATCCGATCTTTCCAACATATAAAAATTAATTTTTATTAAACTTTGCAATTAAGCAGACTATAATAAAATAAAATCGTTTAAAAATGACTTGAGTTTAATTAAAAAAGAAAAGAAAAACATTATGGAGCCAAAAGGTTTTTGAAGGAATTTCGAAACAGAAATTGGTCTACCGCGCATTCTTTAATCGACTGATTGCAAGATGCTACATCAGCAAAAAAACGGTATGGTGATGGTAGAACACACACAGCTTGTACTATGGAAAATGTTAATTCTGCTAACACTTGTATTTGGCCAAGGCGATTGACTTCACATTTATAGAACAATTAGTCGAGTATCCTGAGAAACTGGTATTTCGCAAACTTTAGTACATTGAATCATTCATAAGTAACTGCAGCTGAAATGTTTAAAAAAGGAACTAGCCCAGGACCTATCCTTCATTTCATATGGTTCACGAATTAAAAGCTGTTTAGAGTAACTCCACCAGTAAATCTGCAAAATGATGCAGCCAATCTATTGCTAGTACACATTTGACTCAAATTAATTTCAAATGTTGATGTTATCATGTTTTTGTTAAATTGTAAAGTTTAATCAAAAATAAAAAATGAATTTTTACATGTTGGAAAATTCGAATTTTGTTTGTCCAACATTGAATACCCATAATTTTGGACCGTGTTGATAGAATATTTTATGAAATTAGCAGTTTAAAATTTTATTGAATTGATTTTAAAATTAACAGATATATTGATAAGACATATATGGGTATCAGTTCAATTGGAACACAGTGTATATTCATAAATTTTATTAACTTCAAAATACTTGTAAAAATGTTAATATGATATTCACAAGATATTTTATTATCAAATCGATTTCCCTTAGCCAACACTGCTCGTTCTCATTCTTCCGCCCTTCCCTCTCACCATAGTTCCCCCAATCTATCGAATCCGCTCACAAACATAGACTTTTTCGAAAGGAGGCTCAGCCTGGCCTGCGCATTTGGGCTCTCCGAACTTATGACATCTGCTCCGGCCCTCAAAACAAGAGATTGGGCCGTCGTTTTGGCATGTCTTGAAAGGGTAGGCACCGGGGCAACGCTCGTGAACGTTAAGGAGGTAGCCAATGAAAATGGAACAATTGGTGGTGAAGAAATAGTAGAAGGTAGATACGTTGGTATTTATAAAAAATTAAGAAATATTATATTTTACCATTTAGAACAATTATCAGCGCCAATTGATATTAAAGATGTTGCTTACACATCGGATAGCGAAATATTTATCAATGCTGAACATATGGGAACCTCTCGTGATCTTATGAATAAGGATACTCGAAATTTTTCTGATGGGTGGCTCTTCGTTGATAAAGTAATATAAATTTGATTTAAAATAAATAATTGATAAGGGGCATGGAAGAAATAAGTATAAAAATTTAATTCCTCCGTCAATCTTATTACATCCTTAATTAATTAAATATCTCATTGACGTGGATGAGGGGCAAGTAAGTTTAAGTACACTAAGTACGTCTAAAATGTTTGTTTGAAAAAAAATGGCTATGCTACTTTTATAATATAACAAATAATTTTACAATTGTAAAAAAGGTTAAGGAATTCGAAACAAATGATGAAAATCTTCATTTCCAACAAAACAACGTGTATCAAGATAGCAAAGTAAGCCTTAAGCCGCATAACCCTTTCTCTTTCGTCAAATGCTGCGACATTTTGTCATTTTTGACCGCGCATTTAACGCTAAACAATTTTTTCCTCGTTCAATACACGCTATTAGTTTTCGTGGAAGCATTTGTCAAAGGTTTTTAAAATTCATTTTAAATATTCTACAAAATAATACGTAGGAAAAAAATTTATTTAAAATTTATTATTGATTAATATATTATAATTATTTTTATTGTTTAAAAATTAAATAACAGAAATTGATTAATAAATACACTATATAATTGATTTTCAATAATTATTTTTTTAAAATAATAATAATAGAATATATATTAAAAAAAATTTCAGCTATTATTTTAGGGTTATGATATATGACGTTAATCAACTTTCTAAACAACTCCAAAATTTATTAAAATGCAATAAACTCATTTATTTTTTTATATTAACGGAATCACGTTGTCTTATCCGATCTATAAATCATCTCGGAACCACCTAGTTGTAGGAAAAACATGATCCTTGCTGGATTCGAACCCAGAACTATAGGATTATGATACATTCACTGAACAGACTAGGCCACAGGCGTTACTCGAATCAAATTTTTTTTAGTATAAGGATAAAATTACAACTGTCTAATATTTTATTAAAACACATGAAAAAAATCAATAACGTATTATTTTAGGCTCACAAATTCGACAACATTATTATTAATCTTTAATTTTTCATTTTAAGTGGGGAAAAAAATAGGTCTCAATGATGGTATGTTGAGTAAGACAAGTCATCAACCCATTTTATAGGCCTGATTTGGGCTTTACAATATTTTACCATTCATAGTGTCAAAAAAATATTTAAGTTAAGACAAGTTGATAAGTTGAATATTCAAAATACATACTAATTAACGGTTAATTCCATTTTTGCCAAAAATAAAATAATTTTATTATAGGAAAAAAGTTGAACGACAAAAAATACCAAAGCAAAAGCTCATACTACGGTGACCAAAAATCTTTTTCCCTGATTCACTTTACCGTAACAGAATATTTGTTTTCCTGCCGTCCTTCGACAGCTAACGGGCCAGAAAACAGTGATTATTTATGATTCCATATCGTGATTTAATTATTATTTTGTTAAATAACAGTAGTAGTTATATAAATTGCGTATTATATAGCACCTGCAGAGTTGTTCCTAAATTTGGCAATTTTGCCGGATTTATGATCCTGTCTTAAATTGAGGATCGTGCTCGAGATCATTTTGTTTAAAATTTGATACCGATCCTTTAAAAAATTGGTTTTTTACTTTAAAAAAAGCAATAAATAAAATAAAAATTTTGTAAATTAATTAAAAATATTATTATTTAAAAAAATATCTATCTACACATATTTTATAATTCTCCGCCATATTTTGTATTTCATAAATTCTATCGAGAATATTTACGAGATTTAAAGCCTACAGGTTTTATTTAATTATGCATAATATAAATTAATTCTAAGTTTAATAATGTCCATTACCTACTACTGATGTGACAGATATAAGTGAGAATCTTTTACCTTTTCATAATCTTCGTTTACTTTATATTAAACGGATGGAAGTAACTACGCCATGAAAACTGCGACATGCTCTTATACAAGAAGAACATATCTTCTTCAAAGGTTAGTAGTTCAAACCTCAAAAGGCATTTTAATTAATTACTTCTTTTAAATTTTTTTATTTGTTGATCGCAATTTCAACATATTTATTAATAGATACTATAGTGAATTCATAAATGAATTGCCAAATACATAAATTAATTCTCTACAAAAACAAATAAATCTCTGCATAACCAAGGTGGTTGCAAATCCAAACATAAAAATCTAAACATACCAGCAATATCACAAAAAACAGCTGACAAGCTATGGAATTTATTATTGACAGCTTCCAACACTGTCACTGGTTGATGTCCCTCATTTGAGAAAATGATTAAAACATTTTTTACAACTACAGAAATTATATGTCAAACTCTGAGAAACTAAATATCTATTGCCTTTACAGATATGACCATAAATTTTATAAGATATTTATTTGAAGTCTCATACATATACACCACTGCTGATTAATAGAGTGGTCATCAAATGCATATTTATTTTAGGGACCATAAATTTTATAAGAAATTTATTTGAAGTCTCATACATATGCACCACTGCTGATTGATAGAGTGGTCATCAAATACATATTTATTTTAGGGTTTTATTAGAATTACTGCCCATTGTGGACCCATTAACCCTCAAGAGAAGATCAGTAGCTTTGGCACTGAGGCGCATAATTGGAAAGCAAATGTATGATGTTTTGGCTAAGGAAATTACGGATAATCACAAGACTTATAAAATACATAAGGTGGTGAAGATGGTGGACAATGGAACCAAGTTTGTCAAGGCTTTTAAGTAATATTTTTATAGAGTTTTAAAATAAAGAAGATAGTGTGGATTTGTAATTAATAAATTTGGATGACATAATATCTGTTGATGACCCAAATAATCCTATTATTAGCCTAAAACATCAACATTGTTGTCATGATCTGAACCTTATTGCAACCACAAATGCGGAGAAGGAAGAAAATGATATCAATTTTAATGTAATATCAAAATCAACATTTGCTAAATGTTTTGCTTTAATTAACAAACAAAATATATCCCATAAAATAGCTGATATACTATTGTAGAAATTGGGAAGATATCTTATAGCTACCAACATGACCCAATGGAACTCCTACTTTCAGTCAATGAAATTAATGGACAAGATGCTCTCGGAAAAGTTTTCAGAAGTAGAAGAAGTTTGTGAACAAATTGGATTCATAATGAGGGATGTTTCATTATCAAATAATATACATCAGTGATACAATAATATTTTCATTTAAATTACTATGTAAATATTATGGTTATACCTTTGCAACATCATTAAAATTCTTAATAGGAGGATATGGACTAGTGATATCTAACCCCTGTTCTCACCATTCTAATAAATTAAGGAAATTTTGTTGCTTGCGGTATTGCCAGCCCCTTGTAGAGTGTGTTCTTAGAGGTGTTGATAAAAGGTAATAAATTTTTATGCAATCATTTTATATTGGGAGATATCATAGATCTTCAAAATTTATTAAAAAATGTAATGATCTTGGCAAACTTAGTAAAATTACCAGGACTAATAAGCCTCTGATATCTGATAAAATTTTAATAAGCCAGCCTAGGTATAAAAAGTTAATCGATTTTTTGAATTTATAGCTAATATTTTTATTAATATTTTTTGTAAATAAAATATAATATGCTTATTTCCGTATATTAAGTTTAAATATAATATTAAATTTAATCAGTATTTATGATATGACCCAAATATAAATACATACAGATAATGGGTCAGGCCTGACTTAAAATTTGAAAGGGGTTAGTGCAGATATCTGATATATATGAAAGAACACTTATTTAATAATAAATAAATTATCAATTCTTTATATAGATTCTCTTCACTGTATGATAACAGTAACAAATTAAAAGTAATAATTCACCCAAAATTTAAAAAAAATGTCTTATATTAATCTGCCACAAATCTGTGGGTAAGAAAAAGGTTAATTGCCCATTTTGAAAATCTGCAGGATCAACCACATGCAGATGCTTCAAATGAATGTATAGATGGAATAGATACCTTTTTGGAAGTTCTTACCAAAGTGCGCCTTCCATTAATAATTTTATTTTTATTCAAATGATGATTCAATTAATATTTTTAATGTTTATAAATTGAAAAAATTAATATTTTTTGAATATAGCACACCTTTGCCATCAAACGCTTCCGTGTAGCGCTTGTTTAGTAAAGCTAAACATGTGTTTAATTATAGACCGGATGTTTACATGATAATAACTTATAAAAATTTTTATTATTAAGGCTAATTTTAATTAGAAATAAATATATTCTAATTGTTAAATTATAATTACAATAAATTTACATCATATTTAATTAATTTCAATATTAGTAATTTTGCATCTATCAAAAATTTCCTTCAGAAATTTAAATAAGGAAAGGATCGTTCGCGATCCTTTTTTTTAAAAAAAGTTTGAAAAGATCTTGATCGAGATTCGATCTTTTAAATGGATTAATTAACAAGCCTGTCACCCTGTATGCTTCAAATTTTTTATTTAAATGAGTTTTATTATAGCATTAATTTGTCTATTTTGCTCAAAATTGTTTTTTAAAACTATTCATTGCAAATTGAATTTTTATTTATTATATTTATAATTACTTAAGGCATGTTAATCCATAAAAACTTAAAAATAATTAGTAAAAGGCTATAACGAAAATAGGGAAGCGTCTTTGCTCGAAAAGCCAACCGGAATTTTAGAGTTATATAAGAATCGCAAAGAAGCGATTAATAAAACCGCCGTTAACAAATATAATAATGTAGCCTCCGTTGATGTCATTTCTCCTCGCGGTGAGAAAGGTAACTTATTTTACTTAATCTATTGCTAAAAATCAACAAAAGTAAGAATCAAATTATTTTTATATTAGAATTAGAAAGAATTAATCACAAAAAAAACTTTAAAATTTATCTCATTTATAATTTTATATCAAGACTATACCCACCCCGCATCTACTATTACACCCATTGCTGATCATCAATCTTTTGGTAATACTAACCCAGAACCGCTAATAGATTCAGAAACAGTTACAGGATGGAGTTCTGATAACGATGAAGCTAGCGAAGAGTGTTCACAAGATGAGAGTTTGACATCCTCTTTTTCATTTAATGATAGTAAATATTATTTTTTTAAACCATCCAGGTATTTCGCCATGTAAGAAATATATTTTACTACATAAAAATCATTTAACATAGATATTTTGCATTAATGTTAAGGAATGGAGAGGGGCCCTAAGGATTGGTGACTCTAACATAATTTAAATATATTTCGTTATTACCTTAATGATATGATTTTTTTTTAAACTAAGGAGTAATTTATTAACCCTAATTTTACTATATTTAAAAAAATTGTGAATTAGAACCCAATAGAAAAGCCACCAAAGATGGATTATGTGTAGATAAAAATGCCTCAACTGAAAATTATAGCGATGCATTTTATCAGGTATATTTATTTTGATAGTTAAATCAGAAGATTATATTAAATATATTTTATTAGCCTTTGGTAACAAAATATTAGCATAAAAAAATTCAATTTTATTATATTATGCAAAACTACAATTAAGCTTTTAGAGATGATATTCACTATGAGGGCTACAGCAATCGAGATACTTTATCCGTCCATGATTACTAACCAATGTAAGGAAGAAAAAGAGAATAAATATGTCAAAGATAATTGGATACGAGAATTCATTTGGCCAATGGTTTGGAAACCTTTATTCAAGGGTATGTACCGATTTTATGAGTATGTACAATTAATTATTTAGATTTTCAGAACTACGATGTTTTTACCAGTTTGATTATCATATATTCTATATAAAAATCGATTTTTTAATTGTAGAACATTTTTAAATTATAAAATAATATAATTAAATGAGAATTACATTTTGTATGTCCAGCATCTACATGGAATATCTGGAAGCAAACCCTCTTAAAAACCTATACCCCTAAGATGATATTTACTTTTTTAATTACAAGTTTTGAATTATGGTAATCCCTTCATATATTTTACAACGAATAACTTAAATTATCAATACTCTACTACAACCTATCAAAAAATTATGTGTGAAAGAATAATTTTTTAAAATATGAATTAAATTAATTTTCATTTACAATGAATGCATAATGAACTTACAGAATGTCTAACCCTTTTAAATTTAAAAATATAGTAGAATATTATCCAGAAATAATTTTTATTTTAAAAATAGTGACTGATTGATATAGATATTTGATCGAGGTTTAGCAATATATGTATATTATAATAGGTCTATAAAAGTATTAGATAAATTTACAGAAATATATTTTGCCTATTTCATCTAAAAATTTAATTGATAACTCGCCTCCCCCCCAGTATTGTTAAACGGTCCAATTAAGATTTTAGACAAAATATTATAAACCTAGAGATTTTGCTGATAGACGATAGAAAGGTTTCAACCTCTATTTAAAAAATCTTGAGGCTTACATAATATTATTTTGGCTAAAATCTTAATCGGATCTTTAAGAATCGACCTAAATCAGGTCGTCTACATCCAAATTTAAAAGCAAAATGCTTCTTATTCACGTAGACGCAGAATCTATCATGAATTTTTATACAATTTTAACCTTTATAAATTATTAGGCATATGTAGATTATGTTGTGATAAAAGAAGGCACGTTCGAATGACTTCTTTAACTTATCTTCAAAGAGCACTTTTAGCCAATGATTTACAAGATCATTTAACTAGGATTGAATGGGAGGATTGTTTTAATCAGGTGTGCAACTTATTTATTTCACATATACTAAAGTAAGCTCTATTAACTATACTTTTGAATCTTATATTTTGAATTTAATTAACCCCACCCCCATCCGATTGTGTCTCAAAGATTCTTTTCCCGCTTATGAGCAAATTTTTAAATGGCGTCCCTTTTACCATATCCTCTCTTCAGTCTTCCACTCAGCCCCAACCTAAGACTATTTCAGTCGGTAAAAAAACAAACAAGATTCCTAAAACCCGTTTTAAACGCCACAATACTCATCACTTGGGAAGCATTAGCGGTTCTTGGTTGAAATCTGAAGAAAGTAAACACAGAGCTTGCACTCTCCTGTGCAAAGTGTATTTGCAAAGACTGAATACTTTATTCATTCCAGCTCTTTCCCCTTCCGGCCATGATGAAACATTTGCCCGAGTTTGGCTAACTATACTCGACTACATGGACAAATTTATGCATTCTTCTTTTCACGCTCACTCTACCGGTCATAACATAAATAGCGTGGGTAAGGAGGCGATTAGTCAACATAATTATAATGCCGAAGGAGGTTCGGCTACTTCGGATATGCTGGTATTTTATATATCAAATTTTAGATTAATTTTTTAAAGTTCATATAATAAACAGTTAACCTTATTTACAATCCAATAACATATTAACTCATTAATGGTGACATTTTTCAGCCAATGAAAATTTTTCAAATGTTATTTATTATAGTCTTATTAAGATTCTAATAGAAAAACTGATCTCCTAAATAGGAACCGTTGCATATCTCCAAGGTTGACCATCAAAGGAAAATAAGCTAATTTGCATGTACAGGAAAAAATGATGTATAAAATTTTAAATATTTTTTGTATTTCCTAAAACAATGGATGACATGTGTTACATAGACCTTGTTTGGCCATGACAAACGTTATACAATCGCCCTTTTCTATCAGTAATAGTTGTTATATAATGTCAGCAAACTTAGGTGGTTTCAGTTAAATAGAAAAGCTGACTGGGGGCTCTGTAATGCCGTTCTTCTTACTGGAAATTTTTTATAAGTGTTGTAAGTAATGACTCTTAAGTTCAGAATTAACTAATCGATAATTTTAAAGAATCTTCTGCATTTTTTCAAATTGACTGCAATCTTTAATTATATCAAGGAAATTCAAAAAAATTTTCTTGAAAAATCTAAGACGTTTTAAATGAAACAAGGTTATAGAAGCATTAAGATAAGTATCCAGAAAAGCTTAAATAATTCTTGAATATTAGTTTTCCCTAATAATATTAGAAAGTTGGCATTAATATAAACATGATTAAAAATGAAACATTTATTGATGATGATATATAATCATTTTTCTAAAAAATAATAAGATCATATACCAATTTTATCTTAAAATTATACTGTTATTTAATCAACATTGCATATATGGGGAAATTAAAAATTATTTGATCTAAATTCTAGCCCATAAGATGGACCAAATTAAATATAATAGAAGACATCTATTTAAGAAAATTTATATTAATTGCATTAAAAATAAATAAATTCTTTGGTAATAAGGATGAGAACAGTCGGCATTTTAAACGAAATTCATTAGCATCATAAAAAAATAAATGTTTGCTATAAAAAGCACATTTTAAATCATTTCAATACAAAAAAATATTAAAAAAAAAATAAATATAACATATATTAAATGTTGGCCATTATTCGGTACCTTGTTTATCATAAAAAATAATTTAATACCAATATAATTTTTTGATGAATATTTCGTAGGTAGAAGCGATTCCAGAGTCACTTAAAAATATGCTTTTAGTCATGGATACCTCAGGAATTTTCCAACAAGATCCCACATTAAAACAGCTTACTTGGGAGCGTATCAATAAATTCCTACCCAAAGTTTTACTTGAAATACGATTGCAACAAGAACATATAACCAGTGGAAACGCAAATATTACTCCGACTAATAGTTTTGATAATTCCAAAATCAATGAAATACATGATCCAATTAAACAAAATGAAAGTATAAAAATTTTAGACAATTATAACGAAAATTCCTCGGAGATCGGCGGGATAGTTAGACACAAAGATGCCTCCGAAATTTACGACCTAACTAATTTACAGAATAAGGAAGATCTACAACAACATTTTGAAGATCTTAATTTAACAAGTAATTTATATTATACTTTTTAGAGACATTCAAATTTGTTTGCCTAAGTTTTATTTTATTAATTATTATATTTTCCAATGATGTCTTATATTTTATCCAATATCTGAAAGACCGGAACCCTAGTCGATTTGAAAAATTAAATTTAAATGGTACCGATTAATCATTTGGAAAATCATATCATGTAGCATTTAATATTCATTTATCAATCATATTTTTCTAATTTCACTTTGAAACAATTTACAAAATACCGCCAATTAATGAAATTTAAAAAGATTCAAACTATCTCTGCAGGGCTGATATTTATTTTTAAAGAAATTTATTATTGCGTTTGAAAAAATGTATATGACTTTTTTACATATAATTTAGAAACTAAAGCTAACGTTATTTATTAGATGAACTAAATTATTTTCTAATCTCAATTTTTTTTTAAACAAAGCTCCATACCTATCTCAATATTATTCTTACCCTAATAGTCCTAATTATTGCGAAAATTCGGCTAATATTCCAGTTCCTGGCAACATTTATCATCCTAACTATGCTGACATTTATACACAACCACCAGCAAGCTTAAATAATCAAAATTACGTTAATAATGAGAGTTTGGATCATCAGGTGAATCCCAATTTATACTACTATCCATCAAATCAATATTACGACCCTCGTAACAGTATTCCTATGAATTTATATAACGAAAGTTTGAATGATATTGAGAAAACGCCGTCATCAATACCTTTGAATTCTAGTAATAAACCTATGAACGCGAATGGGAATAATGAAATCAATCGCCAGGGCAGTATTATATGAAAAAACTTTTTAAATGAAAATTTTCATTTATTATACATTTTCGGTGATTCAGATATTTTCGAAATCATAAAATATAATATAAATAATTATACTTTTTTATTTAATATAATATTGTCACTTTTTAGTTTAAAATAAAATTTATTGGAGAAATTTTTTTTATTATCTTTTTATTTTTAAACTAGGTTAAGGTATTGAGCTATCTTCAACAGTCTTATTAAATGGATAAAAAACCTTGAAGACAAAGTTGTTTCTTGAGAAGGAACTCTAAAATAAAAATATTTACTTTTGACAATATGAATCAAAAAAAATATTCATCACTTCGATCAACTTTTTTTCTAAAATTACCATTTTTAAAATTTTATGTATAAGTAATAGTGAACCGTTCAGTTCTAACAAGTTTGGCCTCCTCTACTTAACGAGGTTTTGACCTTGATCCAATTTCAACCAAAAATGAAGTTGGAACAAAGGCCATAACATCGAATCCTCGAAACCTGATTGAGAAAATTTATATGAACTAGAAGCCATTTTAAAATGTATATTTACTCAAAATTTACTAGAACCGGTCCTGACAATAAATATTTTATGTATATTGTTCAAAATAATAAAAATAATGCAAAGTATTACAAACCGGGTTGATGACAAGGCAATTATGTGGACTTTCATAAGTGTAGGGTAAATATCTGTCAGCACATACAATAAGATCTGGCAACGGGTATAAATTTAAAGCCTGGTCGAATTGATTAAATTTTGGACTAACGTCAAACGACATGGGTGATAAATTTGCTTGTGATAGTATTGTTTGAGCAAACTGCACTTTTAAATAAATATGTTTATGCGTAAGTAAATCAAACCACTAATATTAACGTTAGCGCTTTATATTAGGAGTATGCCGTCACTTTATACATGCCTAAAAAGGTAATAGATAAGAGTTAGACATTTTTCAAGGAGCGCATTCAGTTGGAGGGAGAGGGGATACCATTTTAGACAAATTAAAAAAATTTTATTAGTAGTATATTTATTTATTTTTTCTAATTGATAAAGCATATATTTTTTTTAAAAATAATTTGAAAAATGAAAAAAAAATTTACAATGCCAAAATAAGTTTTTCACAACATATTAATTGATTTAAATTAATACTGATTTGGCGAAGAAATAAAAGTAGAGCCCTGGACTAGAAAAGAAATGTGGAATCCAATCGAACTCAGTCATTAATTTAATAGCAAGAACTTATTCAAAATTTATTTTCCTAATAGTGTCTAAAAGCGGACTAGGTCCTTATTCCCAAAAGTTCGATGGGTTGTTCATAAATCGGTCTCTTTACTGTAGTCTTAAAATATCCAACTAATTTTAAATTTATAAACCCTAATTTGGGTTCGCAGCCCATGCTTTTAAGTAAAATTATAATTGTTTTGCATTTCATTTGCTTAATTACAGTTTTATTTGTGCATTTATAATAAAAAACTTAAATAACTTCTTTAAAGAAATTTGGATCGGGTCTTCGCCAAAAAATGTCTAGTCCGATCCAAAAATAGCCCATTGCTGGGCTCCATAAAACAAAAAGGCGTTTAAAATGTATTTATAAACGTGATGCGTAATATCGGCGGAGTCTGGAGCATCGATGCCTTCCAAATTTGGTGAATGAATACAATTTCTAAAAAGCTTGGTCACCATGTCCTCCCTAAACACTACAATATTGTGGGACATGTATTGTATTCTGCAGGGGTTGGACGTGAAGAAATACCTATTTTAGTTTGGTGAAACAATAAAATATTTTTCAATATTTGTATAACGATGATACATTTATAAGTAAAAACTAAATGAAATTTTATTTCTTTACTCCATTAACTTCTGGAAATATGGGCTCTAAGAAGGAAAATGCACATATATTTTTTAATATCTGGAAATAATTAAGCTAGAATAGTGATTTAAATTTTACAACATGGCTTTATAGTTCTTTAATATGAAATGAAATTTAATATAGTAAAAAAATCATTATAAATGATTTTATAAGTTGTGTTAATCCTGAAATTATTTATCAATTATAGAAATTCAATCCAATGCACCAGATGCCAGAAATGGGTGCATAATAGATGTAGGGGAAAAAGGGAAATTTGATGTTAACGAGAATGACCTTTATTTGTAGAACGTGCATAAAAGGGGTACATAATAATGATAACGTAAAAAATGGTGGTCTGGATATTGGCAATGGGCTAACCCCTGGGAAAGTGGTTATTTTTGTTATTTGGGTGATATGCCAAACGCAGATGGTGTAGATTCTACAGTTGTTGCAAGGGTCAAACAAGCATGCAGAAGTTCAGAGATGTCGTCTATTCTAGCAAATAAAAAAGTCTCTTAAGTTAAAGGGGAAAGTTTATGTAAGCTGTGCGAAGAGTTGTTTAGTTTAGGGCAGCGAAACATGGGCAATGAAAGCGACTCACGAAGCCAAATTAGAAAGAACAGAGATGGGGATGATTAGATAGATGTGTGGAGTATCTCTGAGAGAGAAAAAAACTAGCAAGGAATTGCGAGCAAAATTGGGTATAGAAATGATTGGAGTGATAATGCGACGAAATAAACTAAGATGGTTTGGGAATGTGGGACATATGACAAAAGATGATTGGGTAAAGAGATGCACCTTGTTAGAATTAGGATCAAGACCTAGAGGAAAGCCCAAGATGACGTGGACAAATGTGATAGGGGCGTATATGAGAAGCATAAATATTGATGCTCAGGACCGTCAAAAATGGAAAAAAAATCAGAGGGAAAACTGGCCTACCTGGAAATCGCCATAAAACAGAGAAGAATAAAAATATAGTCATATAATTAATCATTTACTAAGATTTTTAGATGCAGTTTATAAATATTAATTTCAGTTATATAAAAAATTTAATTTATCAACATTGTTAACATTATCATTTTTATATGGGTTTTTTTCTTTCGATTATATTTCTGACTTTATATCAATGAATGAATACGGAATTAATAATATATACTTATCATCTTGTGCCTTTTCTTTGTTTTCAGTTTCGGTAAAATTTTGCATAATTTCGTAATTGTAATCGTTCACACCTATATTTGTGTCACCTTTTACTACATTTTTATGGTTACGGGCAACATATATAGCTTTATGGAAAGTTTTGCTTAAACTATCAGGTAACGGTGGTCTATTTTTTTAAAAATGTAAATAAAAATTTGTGAATTTGTTTTTTGTAGAAAAATTGGGCAAAATTTCATGACGTTTGCAATAATAGTACATTAGAAATATCATTTAATATAATTTCCTATTTTAGCCTATCTATATTTATATTTTATCTTTGGGAGGAAGGATAATTTAGAAAATATATGATATTTAAATTTTTTATTATATTATTCACGGTACTATATAGTTAATCAAAATAATAATATTATTGTTTATTTGAATTTTTATCTATTTGTGTGGGGGGGGGGGGGGGGTAATTTTATTTTATAATATTTAAATTGCTTAATGTTATGATGCTATAAAAATTTATATCTTTATTTGTTTTAAAATTTTATCTTTATATTTAAAAGAAATTTAAAAAATGGAAATCCAAAAAATGCAATTTGATTTCTTTTAGGAAATTATTAAAATAAATATAATTCATATAAAAGTCTATATTAACATATAAAAAAATAATAAACTAATCATGAAAGCCAATCCCAATAAAATATTGGTATACATAATAATTTAAAATGCTATTTCATTCGACTTATTTTTGTTTAGCCCAGCTAATTAGTGTTTAAACTAAGACACCCTATTTTAGTTTGTTATAAGTGTTTGGTGGCATTATTATTTTTCATAATTTATGCCTTTTTTTCTCTTTTACTTTTTAAGCTGTTTAGTCGAAGCTATATATCCAGCTGTCTGGTAATAAGTCGAACTAGGGAATACCTTAAGAACTCAAAAAATATTCGTAAGGAAAGAGCCCATCTCTCAACTAATAAAGCAGTTTTGCTCATTACTAAAAAAAAATATTCCAGCGGGTTCCCCTCGGGGGGGGGGATTATGACCAGAAAATGACATACAAGTAGGACATGACGAGTTTTTGATGAATGGGCTGAGGTTGGTATAAGCATTTATTTAAAAAATCTTTAGTATAGAATAACAATCAAATTTTGATGTTAAATCATTTATAATTACTTTTTACATAATTAACAACTTCTCATTGGCAATAAGTATAAATATAATGCAGAGATGCACCGATACTCAGGGTTTTGTGTTTTTCAATAGACTACACAGTAGTATCGGCCGATACCATGTTGTATCTAGGTAGCTGTATAGGCTAAAAAGATGGTAACGGTGCATATCTGATATAAAGTATTGTCTATTGCTGACTTAGAAACCTTGGTAGTATTCCCGTAATCCCTTGATCATCTCTAATGTGAGGGACAAATACAAATCTAGATCTTTTAGATATATTCTTGTGTTTGGATATCATCAACGCTAATTCTGAAAAATGGTCTATTTTTTAAAAAATAAAATAAACCAGATAGTATAAGGGCTTGGTTTGCATTCGAGGTCTACAAAAAAGGCCCGGTTCGTACTTGGGTGGGGCCAAGCTAGGTTTGTATTGTAATATTAATAAAATTTCAATTTAAAATTAAGGAGGCAGAAGTAGTTTAAAATTTTTTTTACATAATAATTTTATTATCAATCTAATATCAAAATAAAAGTATACACCATTCCTTCTATTAATTATCCATATTTTTTTATATTTGATAAAATTCTAACGAAAATGAAATAATTCTAGTATTAATTAAATTTTTAAGCTAAAAATCTTGGGCAGGAAAAAAAAATTACAATAAAAAAGATTAAATGAACTTTCTAAGCATTCATATAGAAATAATTACTACTCTGAATAACAATTCGGGCGAGGGCAAATATTTTTCTTCTTTTGGGCAAATAATTTCTTCTCGCGTATTTTATAAGGAAAAAATATATATCCTTTTCCTCATTATTTAGTTATAATTAAATATACTAAAAATTTTATTATTTTAAAGGAATAAAATGAAATTAGACAAAATTGAATATTTTGATTTTATTTGTAAACTTGATGTTATTTTCCTTGATTTTTCAAAATCTTTATCTACCGATTTTTCCGGAGATATGAAAGAGCCGCAAATTATAAAAGCATAAGGTGGATTATCACTTTCGTAACCGTTTAACAATGTGTTGAATTTTTCTTTCACCTTATTAGATAAATGGGTTACATTATTTATCTATCTAAAAAAAGGAAATTCATACAAAGGTATCGAATAAAGTAAAATAATTATGTAAATGCATCATTTAAAATCAGGGATCTGTGAGAGTTCTGCCAGAAAAGTCATATTTTATAGAAACATATGCACATATTCTTTTAAATATTATCCGGAACGTTCTAGAAGTTTAAAAATTCTTGAAATGTTTGAAGAGTAATAAGAAGTCAATTTTTTTAGCAAACACAACCTTAAAATATAAAATTACTACCTATTTCATACTTGATAATTTTTATGCTTATTTCACCAGATGGAATACGAGAAAATTGTTAATTAAGATGGTATACGAGAAAATTGTTAATTAATTAAAGTCATTTTCTTTTATTATATAAAGATTAAAAAGAATTTTTTCAATCCAAGATAACATGGACAGTAACAAAATACATTAATAACAAGTAAGGGTTAAATAAATTTACAATCCACGGGGAACCGAGACTTTTTGCGATTTTTTGCAAAATATCTAAAGTATAACGTTTACAACACTGGTAATTATAAAATGAATGAAAATACGCTTATTACATTAGCCTTATCCAAATACAAATCACTAAGTATAACAAAACATGATTGCATTTCGGCCAATTTATTCTCGATATTTATGGTGTTAAGTGTATAATCACTGCATTCGTCCAGATCACATTCTTGATAATTTTCATAGAGTTTGGAAACTTTGGGATTTACATCGGGTTCTGGACCAAAAAAATTCGCATTGCCCATGTGTTCTCTACAAACATTTTGTTTGATTAAAATTTGAATAAATCATTTTAAAAAAATGTTAGGCAACTGAAATTATATTCAGATATTTGAAAAACCGAATGAAAATGTAAAAGATTTATCCTTGAATATCAACTATAAATATTGAAGGTGTCTTCAAAAAATGGCTACTGTATTAATTTATTTTAATCATTATAAAAAAAATTATTCGCAATATAAAATTCATTCAATATTTTCATCATTTATCAGATTTTGTTAGATCCCTACTTATAGTACTTTTAACTGAAGGAGAAAAATATCAAAACTAGGGAACATATTAAAATATATATGGAATTATATTGTATTATAAAAGAGGAAAATTTTAGTAAAAATGATTAAATATCAATGAATCTTAACGTATTCTTAAAAAGAAGGGTAATAAATAAAATCTATTAGAAAGATCAGAGATAAAATATTTTAGTTAATATTTATATGGAACCTCACCTAGATAAAGAAATTAATATCTTTGGCAAAACCAGAGTAATCGACACCCCAAATGTTACTTAAATTGTCGGTTATAATGGCAGTGCCGGCCACTCAAGTTAGCTTAGAGAGATATTTTTCAACAATAAAATCTTATACTTCCTCCATATAGATGTAATTTGACTGAGGCGAATCTATAAAATATTTAAATTCTACCGCTCAATACTATTTTTTTGAAAATAAATAATGTTCAATATTCCATTTAATAAATGATGTTTATGTTATAAAATATATTTTTTTCAATGATGAAATAAAAAAAAATATGTGCTTCTCTATACAAAATTTTAATGTAGGTTTGTATTCAAATACAGTTCAACCCGGGTTCTAGAGGTTAAACCGAACCAATATTAAATCAAGCCTGAATCGATATTCATTTAGGTTTGGATCCCAAGTTTTCAGCCCTATATTGTGGCCACCATACACCAAAATATTTCCCAAATTAGCTAATGTAATCTTGTTAAATTTATCCAACTTGGGTTGAAAAAAATCATAATTTTTTTTAAAAAAAAACATTCACTACCAATTTTATAAAAGTTTTAAAAAATCTATAACTTTGAACACTTACAAAACTATTGAAATTAAAATGTATTTTTTTAATACCTGGATATTGCTTCACTCTCAGCAGGGGGAAATCCAATAGCGTAAGCTTGAAATATATTATCCATTACATAACCTTCAGCCAATACAAAACAGTATTCGGTGAATATCCCATCATGCCATATGTAATACAATTCCCATTAAACATATTTTTAAGTTAAGGCTTAAATACTATATTGATAAATATTTGAAATTTCGTTTTAGAAATATGGAGATGGTAGGAGGTGTACATGAATAAACGTAAATTTAAAAAATAAAATAAAGGATATTGTTTCTGATATATCTAATTTGATCGCCCCTGATGGATCCTCAAGGAAAAGTTGATTTTCTTTCATCCTAGCTAACATTCCTAAACAAATAATATGCTCTTCGGGTCTGGCTCGCCCCAATAAATATATCACTGGTTTAACCTTAAATTATATTTTATATAAATAAAGTGTTTGTTTATTAACGACTTTTATAGATATCGAATCCAATCTACGATTGTCATAAGATGGGACTATTGTTACATAAAGTACAGTGGAAAATAAAATAGTTAAACTTAAAAATAATGTAGAGATCACTCATAGAAGTTGGCCCAACCCAACAAGCCTTGCAAAAAGATTTTCTGGCCGGACAAGAAAACTTGTGCAAAATATTTTTATGGGACAAATTGTGGTTAATTCGAAAATGTTTAATGCCTAGATATAAACTAATTTATGTCTTTCTCCTTTATAAAAAATTATTACGGACTAGGATGAAAAACATTTTCAAATATTTCCATATCAGTTCGGATGGCCTGGCGGTTTCTACCATAAAGGTGGGGGGGGGGGGGGGTTAAGATGCAGAATCATCGATAAATTCAGAGTGTAGATTTTACTTTTTTTATCTTTCGGGAGTAGAGGTTTAGGGGAGTAAATTTGGGCTAGCTAATTTTGATTTTAGGTTATAAGATGTGGTTCTAAATCCTCAGTTTGGGATGGTTTTAAAGTTAAATTTTTTTGGTTTTTGAAAGCCAGGTGAGGAAAGGGGTGGATTACTTTGATTTTAAAATTCTAAATATATTTTTTCAAAGTGTGGGGGGGGGGGGAGAGGGAGCAATTTTTGTTATCGATGAGACAAGGAATAGTACTTGGATAGTTAAATTCAGTTATTGTAGGAAGATAATAAATTGATATATCCAGTGGCATAGCCAGGATTTATCGAAGTAGAATTATTTTTTTATGGGCTTGGCCCCCAAAGCCTGTAATGATAGATCTTCGGCAGTGTCCCGCCTATGAAAATTAATTAAGAATTTTTGTTAAAAATATATAATATTTACATTTTTAAAATATTTAATATATTTTTATCATCTCCGTGATGTCCGAACAATAAGCATAATTATAAAATGTGTGCCAATATTGCATGCTAATGCCTATAAGTTGTTTAACCCGTATATTAACCAGTATAAAGTAAAAAATATTAGCAAAAAAATTTTGGCCATTACCGTTAAATCGACTGAAAATATTTATTTTGAAAATTTTATCCATATTTAGGGCTTAATTAGAAAATTATTTTAATCCATTTGGTGGAGATAGTACAAAGAAAAATAAGTTATTGGTGAACTTTGAATTCAAAGATTAAAATTGAAAGACCGGACTCGGGACAAACATTTTGATATTTAATATAACGCGTATAGTTAAAGTTTTTTGTTAGATTACAAATTTATCGATATTTTCAAATATTAAAATTTTCAATCTTTATTTAATGGATCTTCAGTCAGTTAAAAAATTTAAATGCTAAATATTTTAACTAGGGCTGTGCCGATCCACATATTTTTCACCGATCCGATCCGATACGATATTTATATTGATTTTTCACCACCCCTCTTTGAACCAAATGTAATTAAGAAATCAATATTTTTTATGCAAAAGAATTATGCATTTAATTTAATTTTTTTATTTCATCTATAATTAAAAAATTATATTATAATAGTAGATAAAATAAATAAAATAATATATCCATTTTATGTTGGTTTAAAAATTGTAATATTTAACATATAAAATTATAATATATTAGATTTTTTAAAATAAATATAAGAACCTCTAGATTTTCAGGCAAAGGATCATAATATTTCCAAATATTAGTTTTATTATTGTTGGCTGACTTTCAGAGCTCATTTTTAAAATGATTTGTTTTTTCTAATATTTCTCGTTCGAATTCTGTTTGATGGAATCGCTTTAAATGTTTCCGAATATTTGTTGTATTAAATAAATTTTTCATTATTCCTCCCCGTGAAATTAGAATTCCGCAGATAACGCATTTTGCAAAATTATCTTTATCTTTATCAAAATATTTCCATAATTCAGAAACCATATTTAAAATAATTCTTTTATTTAATGTATAAATAATAAAATTGGTTATTTTTTAAAAAAATATATAAAACTTTGGGTGTTCCTTTCTATTTTTATAAAAAAGCTTTTAAAATCTATTTAAAAAAATAAATAACATTTGCATTGTTTAAAAAAAAATTATTTAGAAAATATTATCAATGTAAAATAGTAACTCACTGAAACTCGGAAAAATTTATTTAAAAAAAATAAATAAAAAATATTTAAAAAAAAAATTTTTATTAAAAAAATTATAAATATGATGTAATAATAATTCAAATCAAAGTTTCATTATTCAAAAGTTTTAAGAATTCCATTTTTAGTAAAAGGATCGGATCGGGTTATTTACAAGTATCGGTCCGATCCGATATTTTTGGAAAGCGATAAATATCGGTACCGATCCGATATTTAATATCGGCACAGCCACAGCCCTAATTTTAACTTAGATTTCTAGTATTTTTGTTATGCCATTATATTTATAAAAATAAATTTAATAAGATATTTATTTCGTAATAACATTGCAATCTTTTAATAATTTTATTTACAAAATTAAATCTAAATAGGATATATAATGAATGCATCTTATTTTAATCAATTTTGTCAAAATGAAATCTAAATAACTTAAATATTTTCACTAATAATAACCACATCTCCTTATTATCTCGATTCTTAAGGTAGATTGCTCTGCTATTTAAAATATTTATAAAACGTAACCTACAACTCCATAAAATGGCCACTTAATGGTAATAGGCCTGGAGGAAAAATGCAAAAAAAACAAAAGCACACTTTAAAAAATACTAGAAAAATACATTTTGTTTAAAATACAAGTATTCGCGATGCTGCTTAGCGCTGAATACAGGCTCCTAATTGAACGCTTAATAAATTGAATTTATAAAGGCATGGCTAAATAGGGATGCTCCAATTGTTCAAATTTATTTTACCTGCCTTTTTATGATGCAAGGTAATAGGGTCATACCTTCGGGTAGATCTTAAGCATTTACTTACTAGTATGTAACATTATTCGATTTAATTTAATTATGTTTCCAGATCATTGTTGGAGGTCATGAAAGTCTCAAATAGTTCAAGATTTTGAGAAGTAGGGATTTGTCTTGAAGATTAAATCATCGTAAATGTATATTTGATTCTGGGAGTTTATCTTGCGACGTTTTCAATCGTGTTTTCTTCTTTTACATTGCTACTACCAGGGATTCGAACCGAATCGGGAGAAGAAACCAAGGTTTTTGGAAAAATAATCTGAACCCAAGCCGAACCCGGATTCAACCGATTTCAGCTTATTAAATCATATATTAAGATGTTTGTATTATAAATACAAATATTAATAATTTAATTGAGATTTTATAATATTTTCAAATTTCCAATTTAACAACTTAATTCATTTAGGCCATTTTTAAATTTTTTTAAATTTATTCTTAAAGATTCCTATAGGAGTGTTAATAAATTTTATACAATTAAATTCATTTACGCCATTTATTTTTAAATTTTAACTCATTCTCAAAGATTATTAATTAGAGGAAAATGAAAGTGAACAAGTCAAGGTAAAAATACAAAATTTTTAAAATATGACTATGCTTTATATTTTTAATTAACTATATTTTGCCTATAAATAAAATAAAAAAATGTCTAATTTTTTAATTATGATTTAAATATATGATTATTTTTTTATCAATTCAAAAATTCTTAAACCCGAGCTGAACCAGGAATCAAACCCGGGTTCAAAAATATTTCCCTGAACCGAACCCGAGCCTACCTATTTTTTTACCTTAAACCGAACCCGAACCCGGGGAAAAATCTTGCCGGGTTCGAATCCCTGGTTACCCCTAGGTATTTCAATGTAATTTTTCGATAATTAGATTGGCTGTGGGAATAGAGCAAAAGTGGATTAATATCGTTTCGGAGTATGTCTTGAATCCAAATTTTTTCCCTGCATTTTTAAATTATAAAAATACGAATACACAGTCCTGTTATAATGCGATCATTGGTATTGTATTTGAATTTTGTCTAATGAGGTGATTTTTTTATTTAATCATTTTGATGAATTTTAACAGGGGAATACGAATTGGGATATTAGGCTTTAGTAGTGAAATCAAGTTTGTTTAGGATGAAAGAACCGAAAGCGATTGAAAGTCGAAGAATATATTATTTATTAGTAATCCCTTTCCAGTATTCTTTTAGTTTAATTACTTTTATAATATCGTGGCCTTTTCTAAAGGTTATAGAATACTGAGTTGGGTTCTAGGTAATGCCTTACCTATGAATAACGTGTGTAGTATTCAGAATTGTAGCTATTCGTCTTCAATGTAGCAGTAATTTGCATATTTTAGAAAATTCAATAGTGTTGAGTTAAGCCATTCTTTTAGTAATCATTCCAAATTATTCTCATTAATGAAACATAATATAAGCGATTCTTTTTTTCGATAGATCTTTAAAAAATATGGCTAACAGCTCGTCTTAACCATTCCATTGCGTTATGCCTTTTTAATTCTTCAAATATAATAAATTAGCTCGAATTTCGTAGCAGAATTTAGTGTTTAAATGTGTTTTCTACCAGATGTAAAGTCGGAGTTGACTTAATACATTTCACTATCGTGAGACACACTCATATAATTAAGGTTTTTCTGTGGCAATTAAATTGTTGTTTTCGTTTCGAATGTTTTAAAGTTTGGATAGTGTTTTTATTTGCAAAGGAAATTTGTTATTCGTCACGATATTAGCTAAGAAAAATTATTGTTCTTTACTTAATTTTAGTGTTAATAGGCTGGATTATAGCCAAGTTTTAAAAACGATTAACTCAATATTTTAGCCAGAAAAATATTGCCATAAGCCTCGAGGCTTCGTTAATAGATATATAATCTTTGTGCTATGTATGACCAAAATCTTCAGGTTTGCGTAATATTTTTCTGGCTAAAATATTGAGTTAGCCTTTTTCAAAAATCGGCTCGAATCGAGCCGTTTAACAACACTACTTAATTTATTACTAATATTTTTAATTTATATCAGTCTTTTTCGCTAAAATGGCAGCTCTGTTTAAACTATTTATTCGAAATCCGATCTGGGTATAAATAACTTTCGGTAGGTATTATAGGCCCAGAAGAACAACTAATTTAAATTTATCATTATATAATACCACACAAGTCATATATATGTTTACATTTGACACATGGATTACAAACGAATTTATGATTTTTAAATTTACCAATATTAATTAAAATAATACTTATGTTTCTAGCTAATTAATTTAGTTGATTAAATCAGATAATAAATACAAACCTCACTCTAAGACCAAACTTAGTTAATTCAATAACCTCCTTTAGAAAAGGATATAATACTATAAAGGCAATTATTACTACATTTAAAATATTTTTGGAAAAGAGTTTCTAAATAAGAATTTAATAGTGTACTTATCAGAAGGTTTCGCTTCATAGAAATATTTCCAATAGTAATAATTTCGGTTGTTTGAATCTAAGAAGGTACTTTTCATATGTTCTACTATTTTTTTTATATAAACCTAAAATCCTTAGCTTATAATCTGTTTACATGTCAGGTCATTTTTTGCTGAAAGCAGTAGTAATAAGAATCTATTTTATTTTATTGAGAAAATTCCGCGAAAATATAAATTGATTTCTGGGAGAAAAATACACTGATCACGACTCGAACTTTTGGGTTGGAAATTAAAATATTGCCTTAACTTGTGTACCAATAATATTTTCTGACTGCCTAGCATGATGTAATATTATAATAGATAAAATGGAAAAAAAATAATATTTATGAAATTTCAGATTTTTCTTTAAACTTGAAATTTAGTCGAAGTGGGCAGTTCGCGATTTTCATCTTTCGAGATAACGTTAGCGATTGTAAATAATTTACTTTTGGACAAACGATAGCACAGTAAATTGTATCTATTAGCCAAATTTAAAGATTTTGAATCAGGATTCCCTATTAAATTACCATCAGAATTCATTTTCCTTTGGAATATAAATGATTATAAAAAAAATATTATAATTTATGATAAGCGTAAAAAGAAAAACCTCAAGAATATGGTAACCATTCAATTACAATGACCATAACCTTTGGTCACCAAACCATCTAAGATAACACATTATTCAAAAAATCTGAGATCGGCAGCGTCAAATAAGAAATTATTTTTAAAACCTGAGCCGTTTAGCTATGCAGGTCCACATAGTTGCATGGTTTTATTTAGCATCTATCTTTGAATCAAATATATTTTTAAAAATCCATATTTTCTATGCAAAAAATTAAATTATTTTATTTTAATTTCTAAAATTAGAACTAGTTAAAAAAAAGTAAATTATATTATAATATAAAGATATCTCAATAAGCACAGGGATAAAATTAGCCTTGTTAAAATGGTGGAATCATGCGAATCCAACTCTTGGTTGGGTTGAAAAATACACCAGATACCATATAATTGTTGTTAAAAGATACTTTTCAAATGTAGATAGATATAATTTTTCCCAAGATACAATTTTATTATAATTATGGTGTGCATAAGGCCTAATTAAAATTTTCAAATTCTAAAGCTATCTAAAATAATTTAGCGAGTTATCTCTATGTAAAATATATGAGTAAATGATAAAGAATAATAGTTAGATTTTATTTTAATAATGCATATACAACTATATGATCAAATGATTATAAATAAAAATTGTTAGATTTCAGTAATTGAACATTCTCAAAATTTCCATCATTCTTCGTTTATCTGTAAAGACATTTCTAACCAAATCAAAATGTACTTCTACTGGGACATTTGACAGAGTTGCGTTATATTTATGAATATCAATATTATGTATATTGGGATCATAATAAATAAGCTAAAACCTATTCAAGATTGAGTGTCAAAATTTATATCATTATTCATATCATCTAAGGGGTACTGAAAAAATCTGATATTAAATTATTTGATTTTTTCAGAATTTATCTTTTATAATCAGGTGGAAACTGTAATGGTTCATTGACTAAAATTTAAAATTTACCATGTTACCGGCACCCATTGCATAAAATAAATTTGTTGGTTTGTTTTTGTAATTAAATGGATTAGGATATAATATTTAATGAATTGAATTAAAATATTACTTTTTTAATAAAATGTAAAATAAAATATATCTAAATAACTGATAGATATCGCATTTTTGTATATAAATACTAACTCTACACACAATCAATGTGTTAACCCAATCTAACCTAGCATCACTGAATAAAATAATAAATTTATTGAAAAGTATTTTGTTTAGTCAAAAAGATTTCAAATATTCTTAATTTTCTTTCAAGTATGGTAGATTTACATAAATATCTGTATCAACTATCTTATCGGTATTTTGATTCTCCTTGATTTAGTTTATAGGCATCCCACAAATTCATTTGCCACCCTTTTTACCATTACCTAAATTATCAATAATTTAATCTTATTCTTTTTTAAAAACCTGAAAAATCTTTATTGGGAGTTTGAGGTCAAACATTTATTTATATCAGAGACCTGCGGGCGCGGCCCTAAGCCCGGGTAAACGGCTGTATATTATTTTTTTTAAATATACCAAAAAAAAAATTTTTAAATACCCGGGCTGGGTCGTATATTTTAAAACTAAACATTTTATAGCTATAAAAATTAAATATAATATATTTTTAAAAAATCTGCGCCGGGCCTGAAAATATAAAACTTGGGCAGGGCCGTGCAAGTGATACTTCTACAGGTCTCTGAGTTATATCATCTTCTATGTATGTAATCTTAAGCTTCTCAATATAAGAAATATTTATAGGTAAAAGAAATATGTAGCGATATAAAAAATTTTCCAGTCATAAATATCAAAAAACCTATTTGTTAATCATAATAGCTTTCATAGTCTGTACGCCCTTTATCTGTTTCCCTTCTAATCGTTAATTCGCATTTGAGAATTTCATTAAAGGTATAACATTGCTTATTGAGCATGATTTGACCCATATTTCTTTCATTACCCTTTGTATTAATTCCAGAATATCCACTACCTTTTCTTATAGTTCCCACTAATATATAAAAGGATGATCGATAATAACTGTACCGTCCTTTTTGTTGAATTAATCGTTCGAGCAAGTAGTAGGTAAAATTTCAACGGGTTGGCACATTTTAGATTGATTTGTGCTTAGTTAAACCTGATCAAATTTAGATTTCTTTTAAACTCTTTTGTAATACTTTCTACCATCTATGAGCAAAATCTCCAGTTGCGCAATATTCTTTGTCTAAAATATTGGGTTATCCGTTTTTAAAAATCGAGCCTTTTATTAACATAGATATAGTAATCTTGTTAAAATCGTTATCTTCCACTATGGAAATCGCTGATAATAACAGGTTATCATTTCTTCAATAAATTTAGAATATGGATTTAAGATTGGAATTTTTCAAATATTTGTTTTATTAAGAATAGCTTATATATTGTTAGATGTATATGCGTAGCCAGGACTTTGTTAAGGGGGAGGCCCTATTAGATGAGGCTTTTCTCCATAAATTTTATTGGAGGTCTTTAGGTCCACTTTTATAAAAATAATTTTGAGTTTTCACTTTTTTATAAAAATGTTTTTTTTCTAAAAATTTTCAATCATAGTCGTTATTTTTAAAAGTATTAACGAATTTCTCTTTATACTGATCATTATATACATTTTTTAGGGGAGAGGGGGGGGGGAGTTGTGTATGGGGTAAATTTTTATTAGCCTTCAGAATGAAGATTTTTTCTTGCCCTCCCCGGCTATGCCTACAGTTGGGTGAGCCTTCTTTTAAAAAAAATGAAGTTTATTTTTCTAATATTTTTAATTCTTTCCTTGATGACTCTTTAAGAATAGTTCTTAATTGGCCTCTCTTCCATGGTATTTGTGTAATCCCATCAGGCGTTTTATTTATAACACATAAAAATCAATGGTAAATTATTATAATAAACAATTAATTAATATCCTACTCATTAAATATTCTAATGAATTTGAATGAAATTTATTTACATTTTTTGTTCCACGGGATTATAAAAATAAAACTTTTATCAAAATTCTTTCCGATATGTGTTCCGCAGACATATATTTAATTGCAGACACATTATTTCTCGTATAATTCTATAAATCCATAATTTTTAGTATATGATTTTTACTAGCTGCTAATCTCTTAATATAATGGGTAACATTGGAAACCTTAAGTGTGATCTTGGACTAGAAAAGCGTTGTTCTCTGTAAAGTCAGATATTATTAAATCTTCATTATTCAAATTAGATTTTAATTAGTAATAAAGATTGTTACGAAAAAATAAATAGGCAATGTAATAAATTCTTTAATTTTTTAATTAAATATTCTACAAAATCGTTAGGAAATTTTGTTAGCTTTTCGAGCGTGATATTATTTACTGCCAACCATCGTTAGGTTATGTAATCTATGATATTAATATCAAGTGAATAAGGTCTCTCTTTAAGTTTTGAAAGGAATTTCTTTATGGACTTTGGGAAATTCAATGATTATGCTTTTATAGTAGGATATGAATAGCCATCTTAGTTGGCTGTTAATTGACTTAATTTACTATCAATTATAATCAGTTTAAAATTTTAATAAATTGAAAATCCACATTGTATAAGTCCCAGGCCCGTCTGCTAAAATGCAGTTTTTGGTCTTAAGAATGCAACTTGCTAAAATCAACTTTCATATTACTGTCGGTTATTTTAAATGAGTAAATAATTCTTTAATATTACAAAAATTAATCTGTTTAACACTTGGTCCGTTTGTTGAAATTACAATTTTTGTAAGATAAATTATGCCAAATATAATTATTTGTGAGTAAATTTGTATTTATATAAAAAGATTAAATTTTGAGTGACTTAATTTGCAAATAATAGATTTTTTTGTAGCAACAAAGAAAAATTTTCAAAATAATCTTGACAATGAAAATAGGTTTTGAAGATCCCAAATAATTAATTTGCAGCAAATTGACATAAATATCATAAGATTACTCCATATTTTGATATTTTTATAGGATTTTAGCCAAACGACCAATATTTAAAATAAGATAACTCTTAGCCCAGTGCTTGCCCTTCCAGTCTAGGATTTTGAACAAATATAAGGCAATATAATGCCTATATATGAAAAAATAAAAGTTTAATTTATATAACAATTTTCAGTTTTTGGTAATAAGTTGATCTTCACTAGGCAAGTGTATTTTGTGATATTTAAAATTAAATAGTGTATTTTAGAATTTTTTAAAGATGGCTATGACTCGAGAAGTAAGCCGATTTAGTAAGTAAAATTTAAATTTTTTATAATTTAATGTCTCTACTACTATCATACAAATTTTTAAAAAAACCGAAATAGGTAGGGTTAATAAACTTTTTTGGTTGATTTAATATGGATTATATATATATATATACTACTGAAAATAAAATGTACATTAGATATTTTTTGATATTCTATTATAATATGCTTTTTTTAACTCTAGTCTTAATTGTAGAAATAAAAATATTCAAATAAATGTATAATTCGATTTTGGCCTAGAAAACATGGCTTTTTATAATTACATTTGGTAAATTTGGATAAAAAATCAATGTAAACATCGGATCAGATGAAACAAATACAGAATCGGTAAAAAATAGGTAAATCGACACAGCCCTGCTTAATTATGATTATTTTTTGTCATACCTAATAATCTTATTATTTTCGGCGTCGTATTCTAATTTGGGAATATTTTTGAAGGCATCTAAAACGTGAAATATGGTTTTCCTAGATAAATAAAATATTTAATATTAGGAATTTGACATAATAAAAAATATCGGATTTTTATTAAGCGTTTTAAAAAAAAATTTAGTAAAAAATGATGATAATTATACTTTGATTTTTTGGCTTGTGACACTTTAAATACATCGTCTATCAGTTCCCCATCAATGAGAGATGAAGTTATTTGTTCTTTAAAATAGTTTGGAAGAGATATGATAAAAATATTAATGAGAAGGATATAAAACAAAGACTAAAAAAACAAGATTTTAATTTTGAGCCTACAGTTTTACAATGATATTGATGAGATATGATTTTCGCAGTGTGGGACTAGAAAGTAAAAACTCGTTTAATGAAAATTAATAAATTACAAATATATACAAAAAAAATAATCATCTTTTTTTTAATGATAGCTGTGGGTAAGAAAGTTTAAAGACACTGATGATATCAAATGAAAGGTATGGACCCATTTTTTCAGAAACCAACCTACTCGAGAGAGTAGCTTAGGTTTAGAAAGATGGTAGAAAGGTTAATAAGGCACAGGGTAGTTATATATTTAAAAATAGGTTTAATAAAATTTGATATAAAAACATTTTTACTGTTCCGTTTCTCATTCCGACCTTAAAATAATACTCCCTACTTCCATTTCGTAAATGCATTCCTAAAATAATATCTAATTATTTTTCTATTAATACACCATTTTTATTCATAAATCCTTATAATAAATATCAGTTGTTAGATCTGGTTATAATTTATATTTGGGTGATAATATTAATACAAATTTGAGTGTCAAAAGAAACTTCATAACACTAAATTGGTAACAAAATTTTCCATTTAAATTTAAAACTTTATATTTAATGTTTAAAATAAATTATGCTGCATTCTGCTGCACTATATTTGCAGTCTACTGTTTCACATAGGGCAAGACTCATTGGCATATAGCCTAACCGGACATAATATTTGTGATGCTATTATGGTTAGGGCTAAGAATTGCTGGAATAAAAATATATAGTTAGCTAGTTTAAAGAAGTGACCTACCACTCAAACTAAAAAAAAGAGTATTGCTGCTGTTTTGATTTTTATATTAGTACACAAAGCAAAATTTCTTTTTTTAAATATATCTTTATTAAGTCGAAGAAAATGAAGCATCAAAAAAATTTATTTTTATTTGTTTTTAACAAGTAGTAAAAAAATCTAAATTTGAACCTAGCAAGCAGTCATCCCTCTCACCTATAACCTGAGCTCAATAATATATTTATTGCTATAGTTTGTTAAAAATTTTTTGCCTAGTGTATTATTATCTTCTTGATAATATTTAATTGCATCCAAAAAAATCTTCTAAATCATTAGAGGGTATATTGGGTATAATTTTATGTAATTTTGTGTTAGGAATATGTTTTTTTCTAAAATTGATTTATTTTTTAATTGTCTATTTTCATCCTTACCTCTCCATTCCCAGTTCAATTTGAATATAGAATGGATAATAGCAGCAATGATATTACCTATATAAGCTGATGAAAATCTAATATTCAAAAAAATATTTTTTTATAAAAATATAAACCTTTTATCAATACCACATATAGAGACTTTACAGCAGGAGATTAGCAAAACTTTGAATCTGCAAAATCATTTACTTTTGAATAGGAATTAAAAAAAACCCTTCAAGTATTCAAGGTTTTACCAAAAGCTCACCTGAAATTGATTCATTTAGAAAAATAACTATTAATTATACTAACATTTGGCTATATTCTCTAATAAATTTACATCCCTGATAATACTGTGGCATGCACAGAGTAAATGTTATATCAAAAATCCCAACTTTCTGCTCTGCAAATCATTATGTTATCGAAACCCACAAGTTAAAAATCATCATCCATTTTTAGACTTTTTATGCTCAAATATTCTGTTTTTTTTAGAAGATAAAAGTTATTTTCTAAGATGGAAATGAAAATTTTGTATTTATTAATAAAATATCATCTTCCCTGCTTTAATAATTTTTTGAATTTAAATAATGAAGAATAAAAGAATATAAAAACTTGGTTCATTTAATATAATTAAATAGTTTCAGAAGTTTAAATAAATATATACCAGTTTGATTGTATTCAACAAATACAAATAAGATTATTTAACAATTAATACAATAAAATTAGATGGTGGCAATTCTCTGCACCATCCAAAATTGAGCTAGCTCCCACACTTGTTTGCAAGTTTTTTTAACAAAGATAATATAACGATTTATATTTTAAAAAAAAATTAGATAAAAAAAATTCCTAATTTTCGAGATAAAATTTAGTCATAGATTTAAAAAACAGAAATTGGGAATGAGGTTTCCTTTCCAAAAAAATTATACTATCCCCTCTTTGATAAATCCTGGCTATGCTATTGGATAGTTAGTTATAAATTTTTAATTTATTTTAACTATATAGAAATTAAGCGTAATAACTAAAAATAATAAGTATTTTTAATTAAGTTGATAAATTAAATATATTCAACACAATTAAAATCAAGATGATGATTTTTCATATATTTATATTCAACACAATTAAAATCAAGATGATGATTTTTCATATATTTAATTTTTATTAAAATTTTGATAAATAAAAAATTGCCTATAAATCATAATAAACAAAAGATTATGACATTTCAAGTATTAATACCTGAATTGTTCAGTATATATGCCAAAATTTCAGATAATAATTCATCAATTTCCAAATCATTTAATAAATTGTTTTCAATTTGTTTTACAATTTTGTCTAATGCATCACTAAGGCAATTTTTAGAATAAATCGTTACATAATTAGTAACCTTTTCAATATCAAGCCATTAAGTTTAAAATATAAATTGATCTTGTATTTTTGCTGAGACATTTTTAAAATCCCCGCTTATGGATAGAAGTAATTTGAAAGTTAAATTATATTTTACCTTTTTCGGTCGATAAATAGCTATATTGAAAGATTAAAATAAATTAAATTTTGAACTCCAAATAAATTAGAATAGTTAGTTTTTAATTTGAAACTCTTCTATTTGTACAAGAGAAAATGTTATAAAAACAAATTCAATGCAATGCTCTTAAAAAGAAAATTTTTCTATTTATTTATGCCAAGTATTTTTTATATGCCCAACAATTCCTTCCACGTAAAAATAATATTCTTTTTATTATCATTCTGCACGTAGAATTATTATTACTATTATTAATATACATATATATAAATTTTATTGTATATTTAATTTTACGTCAATCATTTTTATGAACAAATTACATTTAATTTTTGGTTGTTAGTTTTTCTACTTTCATTATATATTTTCCTAAGTTTTTTTATGGTTATAAATTATAAAGAAGTGACCATTAGATCGTTTTAAATTTGGGTGTGTAATTAGAATCAGTATTAATTTTAATAGCATATTTTGTCCAATTTCACCTCAAAATTTAGCCTACCCCCTATACCCTCAAACAAACTACCCCCTCCCCCAACCCCGCTCATGTAGGCGCTGCTTATAATTTAACATTATGAGAAATATATTAATCGTATCCAATTATTTATTTTTAAAATTTTCTATTGTTTTTTTCAATAAATAAAAAAATCTGATTAATTAAAAACTAAAAAGTGATTTGGTGTCACTTGAAGAGCTAGCTTATTATGTGACATTCGTTATGAAGACACTTTATCATGAAAAATCTTTTTTACAAGGACATTTCGCGACGCGATATTATTACGTGGATTTACTCACATTTAAGTCGATTAATTTTATTGAAAATAATATTTATTTTCTCAAATTAGTTAATCTAAGAAAGTGTAACATTTCTGCTAATTATGGTAAATGTTCCCAAAAAATATTATACAAAACCTATGATTGGTCGATTTTACAAAAATAATTTTAGATTATATTAATTAATGAATCATTTAACTTTAAACTGATCAAATTTAGAATTTCCTTTTAAAATTTAAAAAAATATAAAATAACAAATTTTAACATTATAATCATACACTATCAGAGAAAAAAATGGCATTTTGAAAATAAAATAAATATTTTCTATTTAATTTATTTATTTGAGAAAGAAGAAAATTTTGTGAGTTAGGGTAGATGCTCACAAAAAAATTATATGTTTACTTTAACAGGGTTGTGCCTAAAAAATTTTTTTTACATAATCTGGGTTGACATCTTTTTTGAAATTAAATAAATTACTGAATCATTTAGGTTCATGCAATGAGTTTGCAAAACTACGGTAAAAATACTTTCATGATGATGTATAAGGTTGTTCTGTATGGATTATTGTAGTGTAATAGGAAATTGAACAAAATCCTATATTTCTCCCAATTTCAAATATCTTAATTTTGTATATCCAGATTGCTATAGAAGGCTATGGATGCATGATAAGATTTTATTCTGACTATGGAAATTAGAAAAATATATTGAGCACCAATGTCTGAAGGATAGTCTAGATTAAATGTAAGAATATTTGATTATAACTTTAAAATAGTACTAGAAAATATTCTTTACAATATCCATTTTTATATTGCTATGGGTGAACTATCCTTGGGTGATATTTTTTTAAAACAAAATGTAAAACGGAAGATATGACGACGTAAAAATTTTAGTAAAAATATAAAATATAAAATTTATTAATGTATTTATTTTTTATAACATAAGTTAATGAAATAACTTACCTCTTGTAGAATAAATATCTACGTTGAATGATATATCCCGGACAACTAATTGTGTTGAAGGCTTTATATAAATAAATTTCTTTCAGAAAATTTTTACCATTCTTAAATAAATAAATTTGAAGAAACATATAATAAAAGTTTATGTTATGATCTGGTCTAAATTTTAAATTTCGCTATTTTTAATAACTTCGGCTATATTTTTTAAATTGTTTTAAAAAGGAAATTATAAGTAAAATTATTTTAAAAAATAGGCTAACCCTGGGTTTTATATATTTTTTTGATAGCATTTGTCTTATCTCACAAAATTTTTTCCCTTCTTAGATAAACAAATTTGAGAAAACAAACAAATATTATTTTCGATAAAAATAAACGATTTTAAAAATGTGACTAAATGTAGTGAGTGTGATAGTTTCATGAGGTTACATGCCAAATGGTTAAGTGTGACTGGTTTAGTTTAGTGTGGTTTAGTGTCACGTGGTAAAGTTTTAAGTGATAAACGCCATAAAGTCCCACGTGAAATATCATAAAATAATATACTTAAATATTTAAGTGTCTCTTAAAAAAAGCAACAAAAGATTATCAAAGCTTTTTCAAATTTTATACTGAAAAAATCTAATTTAGAAAATGCATTTTTAACATATATTGTAATTACCTTAACATACCTTAGAAAAACACGAAAACCAATGCATTTATAAAATATTATAATTACCTATAAATCTATTTCAAAAGTGACACGGTTAATATATTTCCTCGAACATAAAATCTATTTCCATGGAAATAATACCTAATCTACGACAGTTTTGCATAATATTAAAATTACTATCTCCGAGTATTTTCATTACACCAAAATCTCTTTCTAAGAAAAAAAAAGACTCAATTCATGGCAATTTGGTCAGAAGATATGCAAAGCTAAATCGGATATTTGGATACTCAAATGTGAAAGCTACACACGGCCAATTTTTTTATATTTTTATCTATG